AAAAGGGTGAAAGAGACCTAGAGATAAGCATCGTACGATGCCTAGGTCTAAAGCTGTAGAGCTAGAGCTTTAAGCTGTGAAAGGAAGGTCCAAAAGAGCCGTCCTATCATACTACATATGTAGTATGAGCCAGTGGGCGGAAGAGAGCCGTCTGTTCCGTCACAAATATCTATTATTAATCAGATTTGTTATATAAAAAGAAAAATAATATATAAAAAATTATGATAATTTTAATAAATAAAGATTTGTTATTTATAAAATTGAATTACAGAGATTTAATATTATTTAATATTTGATATATCTATTTAGTTTCTTTTAAAAATCTTTATAAACAATTTGTTGTAAAGGTTAGGTATTTCCCTATTCATTTTGAAATATATATCTAGTTGGGGGTGGGAATAGAGAAATAAACAAATTGAGCAAAATAGAATTATTTATAATATTGTTTATAAAAATATTGAATATACTTTTTGATAGGGTTATAACTCTTTTTTCAATATATTTCTATATCCGGTATATGGAGCCCCTAAATAATTAATCGCAGCTTCTCTTACATATCCGACTGCATAAGTAACTGTGGATATCCCTGTTACGCTTCCCAAATCGTGGGACATATCTGTAAAACCATCCGTTGTCCACGCACCAACATTTCCTGACAGGACTCCAGTAGATGAGAATAGTTTGCGGACAGCAGTTCTGTCACCTGATTCGATGGTAAGAGTTGAGGTGGATGATGGCTGAGATGAATGAGTAAATGGCTTCTCCCCAGAGTGCTTGATCGGAAGCCTCAAAGTACGTTGCTCGATTGTTGGCTTTGATGGAAAATGCAGAGATGGTGTTTTGTTTAGTGAAGCTCCGAGACGAGGAGAGGGTCTGGCCAGTCCAAGTGCCACCAATATCAGAATAGATCTGAATATCAGTCGCTGCGGCAGTTTCAGCAGAGATCGTCAAGTAACCTGTTACATATCAGTAAAGTTCCAGAATATAATTTCGGAGTCTGGGTGAACTTTTTGTCTCATGAAACTCACTGAAAGGGAGAGATTGCCTCAAATAATTCCCCGTACTTACAGGCGAGAAAAAGTCCAGGCTGAATATCACACTTTCAGCCATAACATTGAAAATTGAGTGCGTGGAGGTATACACTGCCGATGTTGTGGTTCCATACTGTGATCCAGCTCCTGGGGTAGCCACTCCGAAAAGATTCCATGTAACATTGTCGACAACGTGCAATAACGCTCCATATCAAATTCTGGCCCGTCCAAAACTGCGCATTTCCAGCGCTAATGTTGGCGGCGATAGAACTTGGGATCCAGGCCGAAAGATAGGGATTTCGTACCGCAAGAAGATATGAAGGAGGTTGAATAGGTTCGTGAATAATGTTTGCTGCAGTGTCTCGGTGGCGGTGATGTTGTTGAGCATGAGTTACTGGGATGAATATGGCCAAGAAGAGTAGTAAAGCAGCTATCAGAACCAAAACTCCTCTACGGCAATACACAAATAACATGGCTTTCGGATTTGAAGCCAGTAGCACCTGCTTTTGGGATTCTGAAGAGGTATCAGAAGAAGTGATTGAATCGTCAGATACTGAAGTTTCATGAGGAGAAGGCTTGCTCTTGGCAAACGTTTTATAGTTTATTCTTCCCATGATTACAAGTTGGGATAATGTTGGATTTCGCTCGTATTGCGAATCTGTTTATCTGCAGAAAGTGACTTGCCAATCTGCGGCAATATGTCACCTGCCAGATATAGATGCGTGCGAATAAAGGAATGAATCAGGAATGCAGAAGATGCAGAAGATCTCAACTTTGTTTGCAAATGTTTTCCTGTGAGAAACCGGTACTTCGTTCATGGATCTGTGAGGTTCCTTCATGCTACCAGTACTCGAGTAAGGCGAGACCCTCAACAATACCCTGCTATAATCTAACTCCAGAAGGCTAAATTTATCATGAATCTCTGAAATTGGACAATAGGAAAGTCTCCGGGAAGCCTATAACAGACCTTCAATTTGAGGATGTTGTATGAGCATGGTTTATTCAGGTATTTGATGGAATTAACTCATTGGGCTCACTTGCCGTGCAAGTTAATGTAGGGGATCACGTGTGATTTTTACTCCATATGTGAAAGTTTTATCATTATCCCCGCACCATAAACCAACGCCTATTCCAACAAATAACCGTGCTATCAAATGCCACAAACCAAAGATTTATATCCTAAGATGCACTTGTTGACAACTTGATCTTTATTTATCCCACATTCAGATGAGTTCAGTAGTGAGTGAGTGTCCTTGTAATCTTACATCTCGCAAACCTCGGCACTTATGGAATCTCATCATCATCATCATATATCATCAAAATTGCGTGATATGATCAACACTCCAACTTATGCAGCGGCAGAAACCACAAAAGCAGCTGCTGCAGCTGCATTTGTGGCATATGTGAGATGAGCTGGTAGTATTATATCCCCATGCTGGCAAATATTATCACCAGTGTGGCAAATAGTGTTCACTTTTGACGCGGCAATGTTGGGGATTGCTTGTCCATCATCTGTTGGTCGGTCTATCAGTGCTTTCTCTGCATTTAATGTGAAGAGATAAAGGTTCTCTCGAGCTTCACGTACCTGGATCTCCAAAAATCACGACAGAGCTTATCCATGCCACCGTTGCTGCGGGTAGTAACGCAAGTGCGTTATGCACGACTTGTCCTCCTTGAGAGTACCCAGATGCAACGAGATTTGTATTTGGGCATGCTGCGTACGCGGCTTGGATTTCGGATGCCCTGTACGAAGGTCAGATGTGTGATTTTGAGATAATCTTTGCAAATCACACGTTCTCGATATGAAAACTTTTCATATGATAACTTTTGCGAGAGACAAAAGAAATATACATACATCGAAGCACTTCCGACAGGATCACCACCCGCGAGGAATGTTTTTACGCTCGCCACATAATTGTTAACTCCTTGAATCTTAACCTTGGAAGATCCTACAAGCGCATCCAAAGCCATAAAGAATGGTGGGCCGACGATGATTCCTGTGTTTCCAGGATCGTCTGTTCCACGAGCAAAGATGACTGTGTATTCAGTGCAAGCACCGCCTAATTCATTGTAGGTGCTGCTGATACCAGCAAGTTCCGAGACGAGATTCTGAAAGTCGGTGATGATACTACTGACGACCTCAATGGCCCCATCGATTGCTGGAAGGTGGTTGAGGATTATTGTGAGAATATCGTTCAGGGGAGTGTTTCTTTTCTCATTTTGGGCGATTGTTCGGGAGGAGATGGGTGCCGATGCGACGAGGCTTGCAGTGAGAACAGTCAGGAGGAAATTGAGCTTCATCGTGAATGCGGGATGCGTCTAAGGGGATAGAAGACTATTGATTTTCTACCAACAAAGGGCTACGATCTAAAAGTAGAGAGCAAAACAACTTGGGCTGAGCTGAAGAAATAAAGACATGATTGAGGTATCATTCACTCTTTATATTCGGCTTGACACGAGGATTATTGGCTCGGTTCGAGTGAATTCTCTTTCCCCCTCCTTCATTCCTTTCCCCTCCTTCATTCTCTTCGTTCTCTCTCGATGGTGGGTGGACCTGTAACCGCGGGGAAATGGCGAGGATACCACTAATAAAATTATACCGCATCATTTCCCACTGGCACATACTCCTCGTATTGGTTCGGCATGGACCAACAATGTCAATCGGGAACCATCTCCGAAAACGATCGGCAGTGAGCATTGTGATATTAGGTAGGGTAGGGGAAATCTGTAACAAAAGTACTCGGGGCATGCAAGCTAAAGGATTCAACGGGCGCACACATATCAATTAGCCGAGGATTCCACCGGACGGGTAACCTCAAGGCATTGACTTTGTTGAGTTCGTTAAGGAAAACGTTCTCATGACCATGGTTGGCGCCAATGAATCTTATGTGAAGGATGGGGTTGAATTGAATTGATTCGGTGTAACTTTATTAATATATACATTACTATAAGGCGGTGTTGTGTGGCAGCTTCGACCAATTAAAGTTACGAAACAGAAAGCCATCTATCGTGGGATTCGTGGCTGATGTTTTTACTTACTTTGACTCAGGTACCGGATCATGCCGTTAATAGCGATTAACGGTTATTGCATCTGTGCTACCTTTCTTCAATCTTTCTCTGGATTCTCAAACAACTCACACCAACTGAAGCACCACTGCCGTTTTTCCTGCAGCAACGATAATGTGGGGAAATCCGGGGAAGACTTCGGAGATACTTATCGAGGATCTGAATGCAAGGGCAAAAAAAAACCCAACAACACCACACGACACACAACCTATATGCGGGTGTAGTATTTCCGAAATCTAATCTTCCATTGAAAACAAAAAAGTTATCGGAGCAAGATGAAAAAAGCCGAGGACGAGGACGAGGATGGGCATGTGAAATCTACTTGGTTCTTCTGCTTTCCTTTCTTGAGGGATCATATGGATTATATTGGCAGCTTGGGTTGGGGGTTGTATGGGGGCATGGGGTCGTTCCTACAGCCACTATTTCGAATTCGGGTGAATCCCCGTGCATATGGGCCAATCAATCATTTGAATGAATGATTGTTTGGCGGGGCAGGCCGGGTTGATTTAATTGACTTTGTGACTTATGAGTACGTACAATAACTTTGAAAAGCTTCAAGAACATCGAGATTTTATTTTTACCGTCTTCCTTCTCCTTCCTAAAGGAAAAGGAATCTTTCGCTGACAATCAGATGGTTAAATTATAAGGAAAGACAGTCTGCTTTGTTTGTCAGCTTACGAAAGTACGAGAGTACCGAGGAGTGAGATTCACATGTAATATATATACATATATATATTGCTAGGGAGTCAAATGGCAGCTGAAAGTTGTGTTCATGCGATGGTGAATCTGTTTTCTGCTGTACGGCGTCTCCATACGGAACGTCTGCTTCGAGGCACCTTTTGGAGTTTTCTGCACAAGAACTATATTGATCAAATCCATTTATTTGGTTGTAAAAATGGAGGCCTATGGGGCATCAAAAGTTCTGATTCTAGTGGATGTGAGGTGGGTGCCCGAGGATGACCCTCCAATATCCCAGCATAACGTCAGATAGAAGTATACCAACACCTCAACAAATAGCTTTGCGATTTTGCGTATCCTACTCAATTTCTTCAATCTTTGGTCTCGCCGCGATCGGATTCCTCTGAACCTGGGTAATATCCAAACCGGCCAAATTTTCAATCCCACTGACAGTTAAATCCTCGATCCCACCACTTAATCCTGAATATCCAATCGGCATCAAAGAATTCATTTGCCACGACTCTATCCCTTCGATAACATCATTTGCATGCTGCCTAACTAAACCATCATTGTCCGTACCTTGAATGTATTTTAGTATTCTCGTCATATCAGCCAGGCTTTGCCCTACGAAACCGAATCCTAACTTTCTACCCTCGGATCTTGCCTTGTCTAATGAACGGACAAAGCTCATAATGAGAAGAATTGCAGATCGACGGAGAATACCCTTCTCGACCTCTGGTTCCAATGTGAGAATATGAATACTGAGATCTACAGACATAGATATCGGCTTTGATCCAATACCTGTTACGTTACATTCTATAGCTTCACCGAGAATAGCCAAGGCAGATGAGCGAATCCGTATATCTTCCGCTCCGCGTTTACTTTCCCAACCCGTTATAATTTGGGAAAGTAAATCATATTCGGGATGAGAGGCATCCGGTTCGAGAATTTCGTCCAATTGTGGAACCTGGCCGTCCCAAGCCTCTTCTGCGTCTGCTATCTTCATTTTCTGCAGATCGTCACGTTTCAATTGTTCGGCCTCGGTTTTCGGTCGATATCCCCTTCGACCAGCGATAGAAAGCAGACCTTCGCTAACAGTTCGCGCGATATCACCCACAAAGCTCATCGGCGAGGTTTGAATCACTTGAAGTAACGCTTCCCCAAGTCTCAAACGCGCATCAAGATCATAATCCTCATTCCCATCCGCATAACGCTCGATGAGATCCTTAAGCACAGCTCTAGGATGAACCTTCGACAAATCGATGAAACACCTGATCGTACGAAGATAAACATATTCTTCTGAATCTTGAAGTAGTGAGGAGAACAAAACCAAAAGTGCTGGTATATCCAGTATTGGACTACGAGCTTTGATGAGATTTTGAAGAAGTTCAATCCCTTGGACTCTGACGGGAGGAGGAGATTCAACAGATGTCAGATATGACATGGCAAGATTGTAAGTCTTTCGATCCTCTGTTGCTCGACTAGGAGCATTTTCGAATGACGACCCGCTTGTATCATGAAGTGCATGGCGGAATTGTAGAACGATGAGAAGATTTTGTGCGGTTTGTGATGTTTCTGCGTTTGCTTTGCGACCATAAGCCCGAAGAGAATGTTCGATTCTTTCTAAAACAGGTTCTATAGCAGGGGTTGGCTTGAAATTTGGTGATGTGAGAACAATATTCAAAAGACTTAATGCAATAGCGACAATGCCCTCTTCGTCCTCGGAATCTACATTTTCGGCAACTGAGTCGCTCAACACACCGTCAACCAGTCCTACTACCTGCTTTGAATCCTGGACAAGTTTCTCTGGCATCGTGTTGATCATTTCTTGTAAAACTTTTGCTTCAATCAACTTCTGCTTAGCATCTTCGTCGTGGTGTGTTGATGAAGCATGAATCATAATAGATGGGGTTGTGCGAGTCTTTGCTTGTGAGAGCCAATTCTGGCACAACGTCAAAAATATTTGAGATATCTGAGAATCAGAATCACGAATAGTATTCAAAAGAACAATAAATCTTTCTACAGCCGTATTAATTTGTTCCATATCAAAGGTTTGACCCGAGTTGGTGTGATCCGATAGTTTCTCGATCTGAATGCCCTTGCTATCTCTCGATGAATGATATATCCAACTCGATTTAGTAGGTTCGGATCTACCTTGGAATAAGATGTTTTGTAAAATCTTAGCAAGCGGTCCTTCCGAATTATTGGATATCGTTGATGAGGAGAGCTGCAGTAAAATATTCAGCAGCTTTTCTGCATAAGCACGAGATCCTATGGTACTATCTTCCTTTTCGATATAAAATATTGCCCACAGTGGTAAGAGAATTGGATTAAGGAGACGTTTCGTCAATGATGGATGTGGATGTGATGTGACCAGAGTAAGTAATCTTCGCAAAGCTCTCGCAAGATCTTCCGCTGTAACAAGAACTTTTGGCATTCTAAGAACAACTATCTCTTCAAATCGTGACTTCCGTTTCGTGGATGGAGCAGTGAGATTCGGATCTATCGTTCCAATAATCGGCTCAACAAATGATTTCCATCCGGGTGCACCTGGACCATTCAGCAAATGTCAAGACGAGCAAGAATGATATCCTCCCTACCTGGGGCCCCATAAATCTTGCGGCCCAATGTTCCAAAGCCAATGATGTAAGAAGCTGCTTTATCCATTTCATTTTCACCCTTCCCATCGAGGAGGTCAAATAATTGAGGGGCAATACCACCAAACCATTCCTCTGCCGACATGCCTTGTGGAGGTGAAGACAAAAGTCTTGATGCGGAGCTCATGGCTTCATGAGAAATGTTTACAGCACGACTACCCACAGAGTCAGATGCTTTCATACTTGCATTACTAGGGTGTATTGAGAAAACAAATTCAATTGTATCTTGTACACCACGCGGTCTGAGAGGAAGATGAGACAAGGCCTGGATCAAAGGTCCTCGTAACCAAGGTTGTACTCGATCCGGTTGAACGAGAAGATTCAAAACGGGCATGAGTTTTAAGGTAGAATTACTATTGGGAAGTTAGACCTTCCCGTGAGAGGTTTTGAACAATGCTAACCTTTCAATCAATTTGTCAAATTCAAGCCGCGATTGAGATCTCGTGTTTTCTGGAATATCTGGATCAAAAGCTGCCTTTCCCACCTGAAGAAATTTATCAACCAAAGGCGGCTGGGCGGTCCTTTTATTCTGTTTTTCTGACATGGTTGCAGGACAGCCGGTATCAAGTTTGAGTGTAGAATTGTCCTCGTTGAGTGAACAAATAACTTTATCGTTCCAACGTTTCGGTGGCTTAAAATTTGTCAAGATTGCAATGAATCCACAAGTCCCCGTAGATCTAAATGTTCATTTAAAATTCAATCAATACTTCGACTGATATTTTATAGATGTAACGAAATACGTGTTGTGATTGATGAAAGAATACCTGGTTGTCGATCAGTTTTGTTTTGAATCAAATGGCGTAAGGTTAGCTGTGTGTGGCTTTATTGACCTTAATTAGTGGCGCATTGTTGTCACGTGATTTATGCAATAGAATCAAGGTCCCGTATAATATAAATCTCATGCTATCAATATATTCAGAGTATATATATAAAGTTAATACTCGAGTAATATAAAAAGTATTGAAGATCTTTGGTATAATTCTCTTTTTTGTAGGATACCAAGTGACATTGATTACCACCGAAATCAACGTACTGTCTCATCCCAGGCAGAAATTTTATTTATGAGGTTTTGGCCAAATGATCGTTGTCGGCCATGGTGCAGGTTTTTCACCTGATCACGCAAAACACTTCAGAAAACTCATCATGGTAAAATCTCTGCCCAAACTGGCATTTCATCTCTCCCTCCCAATATGTCAGCTAAAATTTATCCCCCCATTTTGCCCAAACTTGGTCTGGAATCTCTCGTCGCCGCAGTAGAAGATTACCAACTCATACATGGCTCTACCTTTAAGCTCATCAAAACAGAACAAACGCACACTGCTTACTCACAGCCAGTTGGAACTACACTCTTTCCTACACCCTTTCCCAAACCGGCTTTTGAAAAGGCCAAATCCCTCCAGCCAATCTATAACAAACTCTACGCATCAATCTCCCGCGATCCAGAATGGGTATATTCCGTCCTTCAAGATGTCATCAAAATAGACCCATTTGCCAAGATATTGTGGGATATTCACGAAAAAGTCAAAAACTTCAAGATGATTGCTCGTCAAGATCTTGAACTAGGAATTTGGAGATCTGATTATATGTTACATTGCCCACAAAGTCCGGATGGATCATCCTCACTGGAGATAAAACAAATCGAATTCAATACCATAGCCTGCGCAGGTGGACCTCATTCAAATATCATCTCCGACATGCATCAGTATCTTCACTCTACAGGCTTCTATGGGTTTTCTCCACAAAGTTCGTCTGTCAACGAACTTCCTGAAAACAGAACATTCAGTACTATAGTGAACAGTCTAGCAGCTGCTCACGGAGCTTATGGGCCAGCAGCATCATCTCCAACCCGAAGATTATGCATACTGATGATCGTGCAACCGAACAATTTCAATATTGCGGACGAGCGACCTATTGAATATGCGCTCGCATCCCCACCCTTACCTCATCCCGACTTTTCGTGTCGAATTCGGTCTCCCAGGTCTTAATTTTATATCTCTCGAATTGGGAACCGGTGAATTAATCTACGATTACCCCATCACCGAGGAGATATTCGAAGTGAGTGTCGTTTACTATCGAGCTGGGTTCAAAGCCTCTGAATATTTATGCGAAAGCGATCGGAAACACATCAATTTTGGGAAATTATTCCGTGAGATTCTAGAACTGTCTCGTGCAATCAAGTGTCCATCAATACTTGGACACTTGGCAACGTTCAAGAAAGTTCAACAGGCCTCAAGTACATCGCCTGAAGATTTGAGGAGATGGCTCTCCGAGGAAGAAGCGGCTGCAATCACAAAGACATTCATGCCGATGTATAGCTTGAATGATAGCCTTGTGCAAGAGCTTGATCGCGACACGAGATTAGTGGTGGATCTTATACTCAAACCCAACAGAGAAGGCGGAGGAAACAACGTGTACGGATCTGATATTCTCAAGTTTCTACCTTCCATCGATCGGAGCGAATGGGGACAGTACATTTTGATGAAGCGGGTACAGTCACCACAGGGTCTAAGAAATACGTTTATGAGCTCACGGGGAGTGTCTACTAAGAATGTATGCTCTGAGTTGGGTATTTTTGGTATTTGTCTGTTTCAGGGCGAGAGTAAGATGCCGCAAGGGACAAGCAGTAAGAGCATTCCATTGAAGATGAAACAATTTACAGGAGGTTGGTCTTTCAAGACTAAGGACTGTCAAGTCAACAAGATGAGTGTTGTGGAAGGGTATGGATGTTTTGATAGTCCTTTCTTGGTTAAAGAGGCCACATTCAAGGCTCAATGCCAGAGATGATTTCTTTAATCACAAATCATCAATATCCAAGACATGGTATCCCTAGCCCTCACTCATGACCTTGGTCAACTCTTCTATCAATACTCGAGCCGTCGACTTCTTATTAGTAAATTCCTATTATACATCTATCTATTAACCCAAATCAAATCTGAAAACTTCAATACCAATATTCCAAAAGTTACAAATACTGGTATTTGAATAGATTTGAATTAATTCTGTGAGATTTTAATACAACTAGAATCTTAATTATTAGATTCAATCTGAAGTATATAAATATTATTGAAAACTTTATATTCAAGTAGTAATTAAATCAAAAAGAGTTATTTTTCAAAAAAATTAGTTCTTATATTAGAAATGATTATATACTTCTTTTAATTCATTATTTTATTTATCAATAACAAACCTAATTCTGATTATTCAAAAATATAATAATAATAATATTATTAATTTCGATAAATTTATGTCTTAATAGTTTCAAAGCCATAACTTACTTCGGCTCTTTCGGGCCTCTTTATCTATATTCACTTGTGCTTTGCAGCTTCCTAAACATTGACTAATGTTCATTGTTCCCCCTCTTTTATAATTATTATACTCGAGTATATTCAATCTGAATATAAATATGAAGCTATTTCAGACCTTTCTCGAAATTTTGAAAGAGTGATTTATTTGTGTATTAGGTTCTAAACTAAAATATAGAGTAAATTCAAGTTCTAAATCATAAACTTTGAGTTCTAAAATGTGAATTTTGAATTTGAATTCGTTATAATGAGCAAGATGATGATATAAATGGTATTACACTCTCTCCTTTTAGTCAATATTGTACTGTATCGTATCGTATCAACACTACAGGCTACAGCTTCCGCATGCCATCCCTCCCTCCAGCTCATTCCATCATCATATGTATACTCAAAATCTCACAAGTCACAATCTTCGTAGTATTAAATACCTAGATACTTTCTGATCCAATCCACCTAATCTGTTAGAGTATATCTATCACACATCATATCATGATCTCGAATATTTAGCTTCATAATTCTTATTCATCTTATCTTCAACCCATTTCAAAACAGAAACTGTAACCTTACTTCGTCCTCGAGTAATCCATCTATGTATTTCGTAGACTTCTTAGATTTCCTATCTTAAGACTGGACATTCCTTTTTATCTGCAAATCCAGATATCTCTTCTATGATTTTTCATGCGAAAAGGGCGAGAAGGGCGCGGTAGTGATGTGTATCTTGATTCTTGGGAGCTGAGTATAATATAAGTAGGTATAAACGGGTGGGTCACATTTACTCGAAAGATGCTTTTAAATCACATGTAGGGTAGGTACTAAGTAGTAAGAGAAGTTAATGGTTAAAAAGTGAGTCTGTTGAAGTTTCTCAACTTAGAATCTAACTACTGAGTATATCTATATTCATAATTGAATATTACAGTGCTTGCTTTATCGCAAACTTTGCTATCTTATACTTATGATGGTTTGAAACATTTCCTCGCTGGACCGATCGTTTTTCTTCTTAGTCACCTACGAGGAAGAGTACTGACGAACTGACTGTCAAACTCTTATTCCTCCATGCTTTGATCTTCAAAAAACGCTACTTCATCCATTTCCGTGACCACTCCAATCTCTATGTTTCCCGTGCGGAACATTTCATACATACCCAAATTTTTAAAAGTGGAATACACATTGTTGTTTGGTGATTCATCCATGATGATATCACAATCGCCATCAGTTCTTTCATGGAGGGTCAACTGTCCCGCAAGCTTAGATGATAAGCCTTGCATTTCTGAGCACCTTTTGCCCTGCGATGGTGTATCATCTCTGTCGAAGTTTCCGACCATAATCAGGACCTCCAATCCTTTCATCATTGGTTCCTCGTTCTCCCATCCTTGAAACAATTGTCTCTCCAACACATAATGTTGTTTGAAGAACACATCCATTGCCAAGTACTTCACACCCTGCATGCCCACGGTGCTAGCTTTCACATCTTGCAAAGCTTTCATCGTACCATTATCTCTCGTTCTCAAGTAGATGATATCCCGATCCGCCAAATATTTGATTCCCCTCTTGAAATCAGCCCCCAATCTCTGCTTGACAACCTTCATATCCGCATATTTTGCCTCCTCCAATCCATCATGTCCTTTAAATACTTCAATCATTCCGATATTCTTCGCATGTGTATCGTTGAAACAGAAGTTCCAAAGGCTTCCGGCGAGGGCCCTGCTTTCCCGGCATACCATTTCGATTGAACATGGAGCACGTGGATTGACTTCTGTCCACTGTACTACGGTCGATCCGGTGGGTACAGGAAACATGATGTTATCACAATCGATGTCCCAGGTGAGGTCTTCTTCGGTAACAGCGCGGACCTCGATGATACGAGGGCGTTGAGCATCGGAGAATGCATGACACCAGATCATGTCGCGGACATTGCGAGGAAGAGCGCGGAAGCTGTGGAGGATGGTCGCTGCGATCATGCTGGTGTTTGGGGACGGAAGGGATGGAAATCGGGGTGAGGAGAGAAGATAGGAGGAACCGGGGTCGATGTTTGACAGCGACGTATCGGATGTCAAGAATGCCATTTCTGCATCAACGGAGGCAGTTGATGATGGATCGATGGGATATAACTGTCGTATGTTGGGATTAAAATAATCTGACATGATTACCGATGAAGAGACAAAACGTCAAGTGATTTTAGAGGGAAAGAGTGATCAAGAGATAGGAACGGTTATGATTAAATAAAACTTTTCCAATGATGTTCAAGTTTATGATGCTAGAAGAGGCGATCATTCAACCATCCTTGTAGACTCGATAATCTATCTTAAACTCAATACCGGGCTACCGGTAGTTTGAACGTTTGTCTAGCTGGGATATGGCGACTAAGAACACGCTGGCTGGGCTTTTCAAGTTATAATACAAGGTTTTCGATGTCGATCATCTCGCTATCTCTCTTCACAAACCATACCGGTACTCAGTATAAGCGCTTGCTTGATTCATAACCCTTTGTAAGATCTTACTACCTTATTTATTCCTGAGCATTGTGCCATGCCAATATTGTCAGAATCACTCTTAGACCAACCAAGCAGGGACTTACCAGGAGTAAATACTCGTACTAATAACCGGAATACGTTGAGTTTCCAATACAAGGATTTAAGGGGGTCCAAGAATGTTCACTAGCGGCTATCACTACAAACCTGATTTAAGGTCTCCAAGTTCGCGACCATTTCGAACAAAAACATCCCGAGCTAGACTTTACTACATGAACGAGACACAAGCATCAGGACGAAACTTTTATCAGGGATTTTAGCTCTCATATATAGAATTCCCACAATGTAATCTGTATGCTCCTACAAGTCCTTTGACGCGGTTATAAGAATTGTACTCTAGCCTAAAAATATGCCCATTTGTGTTTGATCTACTCCGTAGTCAGCGAGGGCTAACATTTAAACACTAGTGCTCCTTGACACACCCACTAATTATCAAGTCCATAGAATTCCCTCACTGATAACCAAATGACTAACTATAAAAAGCATCGAATAATTCACAAACCACCAATATATTCTTTCGAGAACCTACCCGTGTCGCCAAAAAGTCCGCAACTTGAGAATACTATTTCTCCTTGACCCACTAACTAATTATCAAGTTCATAGAATTCCCTCACTGATGACCAAGTTGCTAACCATAATATGATAAAAAGCATCGAATAATTCACAAACCACCAAAATATACTTTCGAGCACCTACCCATGTCGCCAGAAAGCTCGCAACTAGTGTGTGTGTACTAGTACATGACATATAATCGTAGACTACCTAGTAAAGGTAGACCCTGAGGTTTGAGCTTTGAAGTGGCGGACATTCTGGCGGTATGAGTGGGTAGCAAGCCCTCAGGCCGGTAAGATAGATCTACATTCAAACATTGCCGTATCGTTAGGCTGCCACTTCATTGATCAACCCCTCAACTACGTTGTAACACTCCTCCGGATTCTCAAAGATTCTCCACACACTTTTTGGAATCCCAGTAAAAGCTTTCTCGAATCTTTCCGGCTCGTTTTTCTCGATGATGCCGATCGCGGCAATGTCTGTTACTTTACGAATGAGGATTAGCTTGATCCAGGTTGGATTCTTTCGATACCTATTTCTTGATTAGTAGATGGAAGTACGGGGATATGAGACGACAATGGCAATATTTGGAATATGTCGGAGTGGGAATGAAATTCAAAGATGTGGAGTAAGTCTGGAACTTACATCTCGCCGTAAGCCTCTGGGTCACTCTGCGTACTATCTCCCACACAAATCATCTTTCTTTTCGGCAACCATCTATGGATCTTTTCCATCCTATCAACTTTGTATTCTTGCGTACCCTCAGTTAATGTCTCGAGTAATCCGGCTAGATTCAAAAAATTCGCATCTCGCAATATCATGGTTCCTTGAGGATAGTATTCCTGTCGGAACTTACTGAGAAACGAATAAAGAGTGTAGGGTGAGGCAGAAAGGTAGAACCAAGGAGCCACTGAGACACTTGTAGGGGTGATGAGAGATTGTATGTGCTTGTAGAATTCTGGCATCCCTTCAATGGGTAGGGGTTTGGATAGAAAGGTGGAACGGAGAATACCAATTGGAGAGCTGGTTTGAGTTATTTTGATTGAATCGTCAATATCTGTGTTGAGTTAGTATGTTTTTGCCTTGTTTTTGAAATCAGACTTCATGTCGTCCAGGATGGTGTGACTGAAAGTATCTAAACTCACCAGAAATAACTCCCCATCCCTCAGGCTCTGCATAAACCGTTTTCATTTCCAATATTCCCTCTGTTCCATTCGGTACTTTCGCGTTCCATGTTGTCACTTCACCATCTTTGTTATCCTTCAATTTTCGAATATCACTGCTGATCCCTTCCCTTCCACCTGGCCCCAATTTCAATTCGGCAGACTTTCCATGTCCGGAGGAATTGATATCAACAACCCTCCCAGACCTAACATGCATTAAAAATGGTCTCAGTCTCTCCTCCACAACTTCATCCTCCCCTCTATCACCATCGCCCCCAATCCTTCCAACTATATCTCCCACGATTTCAGGGATATGGTTTCCACTTTCTGTCTCCCAAACTGCTGCCACAAATTCCGCTTCCCATTTCCCCGTTAAATTGTTCCTATACGCCGTGTTATCCAACAACCATACAGTATCATCTTCCGATATCGCTTTAGGAAATGGATTATGTGGTCCGAGGTGTGAGAGAACGTTGTCTAAGAGGGAGCTTGTTGATGTGCGGGGAAGATTTGGAAGGGACGATTCGGTTTCGGGGAAGTGGTTACTCTTGCGGGCTTGAACTTGGAGAGACGTAGTGCTTCTTCGAGATACCGTCATTGTGGCTGTGGTAAATTTAGCAGTAGTATAAAACTCCTTTTGTTCTTCGTTATTGTGTTATTGTGTTGAGTTTATGATTTTTAAAGCTGTTCGTCTAGTTGTGATATTGTTTTCAATATTTGTAGTATTCAATATGGCAAATATAATCACAGGTTAACAAATACATTAACATATGACTCCCCAATGTTGTGTGAATATTGAATAGGTATGAAATAAAAAGGAAAGGAAACAAACAACACATGCAGTCAGTATACGGTTGATTTAACCTATTGCTACGCCTTACTGTGCCGCAATTGATCAGCCGCCTGTAGATCCTTAGGATGTGACGAGAATTGCTTTGACTTCTGGAGAATAATGGAGCTGCGCCCCCAGGACCCTGAAAACCTTACACTGCGGTGAAACCAAGAGGGTGCAATATGAGGTGTGATTAGGTCAGGGGAGCAAGGCACGCGATGACTCTGATTCGACAATTTGATGTTACAGATGTCGCTTGCCTTGTTGTGGCGTAGGTAAGGTTATGGATTGTATAACAAGAAAGAAGTCTTACCAGTTTCTAGGTTACAATGGTAGGGCTGGGTACGATGGTAGTATGTATCATCGAGAATGTGATGACAAGATTTTATGGCGACAGCTTTCTCTCAGCCCCGGGGAATAGAGTAGTTGGGTTACCGGTGTACCGGTGTACCGGTAAGATTGATGAAGGGGGCAAGGGGTCCCATTAGTGAATTAATTATTGAAATATCTAAAATTCACGTGATTTAACAATATCATATCTGATGACGATTGGACTGTCTTAAAGCTTCATTTGAGACATAACTCTCGAGTATATACCAACCAATTTCGATAACCATCACTTTAGCGGAATCAGTTTTCTATTTTGATTACTCAGAAACTTCGAATAATCTTTACATTGATAATTTTTCAAACAATATTCAATTTCTTTATGGACAGGAGTTCTGTCTACAAGCAAGGGGTTTGAATAGACTGGACTGCTACTCGTCCAAAATTATCTCCAAGCAACGCCAAACAAACACATTAATCTGAGACGCAGATCGTGAAAAATTAAATCATGAAGAATTCATCCCGCATTCCATCTCAAGGACCTGTAAGCGCAGGTGGATAATCAGAGGCATCGGTCAAATACCCCTTAAGCGCATTAATACCGGGCGAGAAAAAGTATTCACCACCTCTCTGAACCACCCATCGTTCAAGCGCGACACGTGCCTCCGTAGGTTCTTTACCATCTGGTAGACCGATAGAACGAGGGGGATGGTGATCGAGTCGCTGGCCCACGATAGCATCAATACCAGGACCATGTTCACCGACAAAATCAACCTTGCGATCTGGGAAGTGATTGTTGCTTGCCCAGCGAGTGGTCAAGAAATTAAATCCATTGCGGATATCACTCTGATAACAAACGAACAGGAGACCACGCTCCTTTTTGTCATCGGATTTGTTCGCAGCCTTTTCTTTGGGTGATACTTCTTCTCCATAAGAAATGCCGCGGCGGATGATGACCGCGTGATCATGATTCAAATCTCCACGTGGTCGCATCTTGCGGATGTGAGCCGCAAAGGGACATTTGTCATGTTTTTCGACAGGGTGAAAGTCGAAATTGTTAGAGCGAAGGAGTGTCTTATCCTTGTCGTCGTGAGGATTCTCATCAACGGGGGTTCCTAATGATATAAATTAGCCTTTGAATCGAGTTTATGTAACATCAGAAGTCGTAGGCACGTACCATTCTTCCATCGACCCATCAAGTATGCCGCCAGTTTTTCTTTCGGGTTATCAGAGGTCGCAGCGTGCGGCGCACTGAGTTTGTTATCTTCTAACCACCTGATAAAGTATGTGATTAGTCCAGTCCCTTAATAAGAAAGAAGCACGCCAACTTACTTGTCAAATTCAGGAACAAGTTGCTGGAGATCCCGAAAGACGAGAAAGCTCCCGTCCTCCGCCCAGTCGGGTTGCTTCATGTCATCACCCTCGTGTTTAGCAAAAATTAACCTGAGGGTTGGGACAAAATGTGGTCAGCTGATATGATCGAGACTGAACAAGATCATAAGATTCTTACCCTGACTTCACCGCCACAGGCTCCTTATCCTTGGCTGCTATCTCATCTAGGCCGTCAATTAGCGGTTGGCTGATTCCATCCTCGAAGCCGAAACTGATAATGCAAGTTAGATCGTCTGGGTTTTCGTTATACATGGGAAGAATGCTCACTGCTCTTTGCCCTTCTCCGGGCGAGTTTTTCCTTGCTTGATAAAAGAAAATTCAAGTGCTGGATCTTTGCTGATCTGATAGGTTTCGGCATCACCACTACCAGGCTCCTTGGCATCACCACTACTAGGCTCCTCGAGAAAGTGTTCCTTGAGAAAGTGTTCCTTGACACGATTGACCTGGTTAAGCAAATCATCCTCCAGACTCGCTGTGACCAAGAATACTCCATCAATCGAACGCGTCGGAGATGGCTTGTATTGTTTTCGAATCTCTTGTGGGTTATCCCAGCCCTCGTTTACCAGGTCATCGTACATGCCCTTCCCAAATAAGCCACCCCTAAGCTGATTCTTCCGAAAGATTTTGTTCAATACTCTATCCTTTTTGACGAGATCCTCTTTGAAGGTAAACTTCCCCAGCTAATAAGTACGTTAGCGATCATATACGGCTATTAGGAGTATGAGTGATAACCTACAGATGCTAGGCCCGTTGATGCAAAGGCAATGTTGACACCGGGCAGGGACTGAATTTTGTGTGATCCGCCTGGCTGTCGAGCAGCTTGAATTTTTGCTGCTAGAATCTTGGTTTTCATATCACATGCGTCCTTCGCACTCGTGATTCCGCCATTTTCCACAAACGACCTAAGTCGTACCTTGAATTCATCTGGCTTTTTGATCTTGAAGAAAAGGAATGTTTGAAATCTTTTGGGTAAACCGGGCCTAATAAGAGAGACAAGTCATGAGTGGATGATTTTAAAGGGCGTGAATGGAAAGACTTACCAGATGTCCCCCTGAATGTTAGATTTTCTCGCTATCCAGCTCATGATTGCGATTATAACAGAACTTGTAAGTAAAGGCTACAAGATCGGAATATGCTGAAGATTGGATGTAAGGAGCAGATATGGCATTTTGGGAGGATTAGCTCTTCTCTTAAGAAAGCCAAAGAAGCTCAAGAATTGCTACTAATGCACAAGGCGCTGGATTCACGCTGTTCGGAGGCCTACAGCCATGGCCCGCGAACTCTCGATGCCGGTCAATTTCTAGATTTGAGCTGCTCTGAAAAAGGGCTACTCGGTAATCTAATGACAATGTTCGCCAATAGAGCCACAATAATTGGCAAAGAGTGAACCATGTTACACGGAATTGGACTAGTAATAACGCAGGGCACGTATGCACTTTGCTTCACAATATTCAATATCCGACGAGCAATTGGCCCTCAGACCAGAGGATCCATTATCCCAGGAAAGAGGGCAGTCGAAAATCAGTAATTGAAGAGATATCATAGGATAAAACGCTTCGCCGAAAGTGGTCGATCTGCGGGGTGCAGATCCTAACAGAAACCCCTTATGGATTTTATATCCCCATTATACAGTATGCAGAACCTCACGTGGACACGAGGGACAGACCAGGATCGCATTTTACAGCGTGATTGAGTCTCATCGGTACCCTGTCGCAGAATGAGCAGTGCGCTCTCCTCGCGGATACCCGTATCGGTGTAGCTTTGGCTATCAAGTGGTATTGCAGCTGAAAGATCAGCAACATTTTAAGAATCGAAGTGGAGTGGTGATAGTGTGGGAAAAAGCAAATTGGCATTGGTAAAAAGCAAACATTCATCTGGCGATACAGTACCGTATGAGTCTCTGAATTCTTAAAGACATCCATCTTGAGTTTTGAAATTCTAGGTCAACGATAGTTGACATTTCGGAACCAGTATTACTAGTTGTTGTGGTTTAAAATGAAAACCCAAGTTTGTGGCTTCGAATTCATTTCGAATTTTCCGATTGGCGATGGAGAATGGAGAATATTCGTATCGGCAATCTTCTTGTTGGTGCGGAACGTTCAACTTGCAGCTCCACCAATCTAGCTTCATATCCAAAGACGGCACACAGTTCAGCTGAACTGTGGAGCATATGACAGCCAACAGCTATACCCACCTTTGCGGACCCACAGATCTTCGATGCGGCTCGTCCCGATCCAGCAATTCGGTACTATTGACATTGTGCTGCTGACTGAACTAATGATATGCCGATGATATTCTCAGCTACTATCATTGTTAATGTAGAGCTACAAGCTGAAGATTTTCTGTTATGAACCCTGAATTCAGACGGATGAGCCGGATATCTGCATCCGTTCAAAGGACTCTGGGATGATGAAGATTACACAGTCCAATCAATGTCTCCATGAGTGCTATTGGAGCTACACTCACCCCTGCATCTGTGCACAAAGAATTCGCTTCCATGATACGCTCATCCCAAACTCATCTCTAATGAGATTCACTCAGGTCATTGACCGCCAGTTTCTAAAGTCACGGGTTTTCAGTGAAAAGTCATGAAAATCCCTAAGTCAGTTAGGACATGCCTTGGTACTTATAGACTCACCTTTCCGCCCCTCTACATTCTACAATAGCGCTCTACATTCTACAATAGCGTACAGGTCACATTCTCATCCCCCTCGTCCTTGAAATTGTTTTAGTACTCAAGATGAAGCTACTTTGGACTGAGCTGCTCTTCGGAGTCTCCATTGGAGGTGTGAATGCCGTTACCAACTTCATGGCAGAGGCGACCAACTCGGAGCGCATGTCTGGCTATGGCCCAGTAGACAAACCCTCATGGGAACCGGAATTCTTCGATGAATCGCGTCCGTATCAAGGCATTCGAATCGCTCGCCAAGATTGGACATTGGAATGCAGCAGCGACGATAAACAATACCCGTGTCAGAATGCTATCGACGGAAGTAACAAAACTTCTTGGCGTAGTCTTTCTGACTCCAAGGGACACAGCATCATAGTAGACCTTGGGAAACCCTACGCTGTCAGCGGCCTTGTCGTTCTTCCTCCAATTGATACCGGAAATGACGGCCTGATCACCCAGCATAAAATCTACTACAGCAACAACAAGGAGGACTGGATAGGTCCTATTGCATATGGAATGTGGCCAGACACGAACAGACAGCGATTATCCGCATTTGAGCCCACATCCGCCCGATACGTCAAGCTCAATGCCATTTCTGAGGCCGGTGTCTCATCCTGGATTGGTATTTCTGAGCTTAACATCTATGCGACACTTTACACCATTCCTCAAGATCCCAAATTTGGTCTCTGGGGCGCGACTCTTGATTTTCCAATCGTTCCAGTCGCCGGTGCTCAAGAGGCTTCTGGTAATATTGTTCTTTGGTCATCATGGGCCTCAGATCAGTTCCATTCTACACCAGGAGGTCAGACAGCAATGACTAGGTGGAATCCATTGAACAATGAAGTTTCCAAACGCATTGTTACCGATACTTCGCATGATATGTTTTGTCCGGGGATTGCTATTGACGGTACCGGCATGATGGTCGTTACTGGAGGTAATGATGCTTCACAGACTAGTCTATACGATTCTTCCTCCGATCAATGGACCAAGGGTCCTGAAATGGCATTGCGTCGTGGGTATCATGCATCAACAACTCTCTCTGATGGACGCGTTTTTATCATTGGTGGCTCTTGGGCTGGAGGATCAAACATTGCCAAAGATGGAGAAATTTACGACCCCATCGTCGGAAACTGGTCTCTACTTCCCGGGGCCACGGTCAAGGAAATGTTAACTGACGATATGGAGGGTGCATGGAGAGCTGATAACCATGGTTGGCTCTTTGGATGGCAAAATGGGAGTGTTTTCCAAGCTGGTCCTAGTCAAGCTATGAACTGGTACTTTACAGATGGAAATGGCAGTGTTCAAGCGGCTGGAGATCGCTTAGATGATGAGGATTCGATGTCCGGAAATGCTGTGATGTTTGATGCTACAGAAGGCAAGATTCTTACCCTCGGAGGTGCCCCTGACTACGACAAAGCTTATGCCACCAACAATGCGCATGTCATCACCCTCAAGGGACCAGGAGAAAAGCCAGACGTAATTCCTGCTGGGATCAACGGTAAGATGCACTCAGAACGTGTTTTCCACACTTCCGTTGTTCTTCCCGATGGAACTGTTTTTGTTACCGGTGGCCAGACTTATGGTGTAGCTTTCAATGAGGAGAACGTGCAATTGGTACCCGAGTTGTATGATCCGGCAACCAACACTTTTACCGAGCTATCAGGAAACAACGTCGTCCGAGTTTACCACACCTTGTCAATCTTGTTACCTGATGGACGGATTTTGAACGCGGGAGGTGGGCTATGCGGTAATTGCTCAGCCAACCACTATGATGGTCAGATATTTACACCACCTTATCTCTTAACTGAAGAGGGTGAACTTCGCTCCCGTCCAGAGATCACCTCACTTCTACCAGCTCGGTTGAATGTGGGAGAGGTATTGGAATTTACCACCGGTAATGCCATCCGCTCTGCCTCCTTAGTTCGCCTCAGCAGTGCAACGCATACAGTCAATACTGACCAGCGTCGCGTACCCCTCCCGCTGAGTAAAATCCCCCTATACGGCAACCGATATCTGGCATATACTCCGGCCGATTCCGGTATTCTCATCCCCGGATACTGGATGCTATTCGTCATAGACGCAAATGGAACGCCCAGTATTGCGCAGACTATCTTCATTACCACTCCGAAAACACTTGATTCCAGCGATGAGACAGAGAGCAAGCTGGGGCTCCTCGAGTCTTACTGGCAAACTTGGAGGCCGACACTGATCGCACAATTCTCCCGTCCAGGCCGAGAGTTGATTTGAACGGTTGTTGTTAGGAATGTTTTGTCACGGATGGTCGGGCGAGTTGTAGGAGTAGAGTTTAATAGCAACAACCACGGTGCGCCGAGTCTAGAAGTTTGAAAGTTATCTTGTTAAAGTACGATCAGTCTTATAGAAATTGAAAGCAGATTGATCTAGTAATAATAAATTGTTTTTAACGTCTTTTGAAAGCATGACCCTTCGAACTGAGTACCTATTTGTCAAAGTTTCTAGCACGATTAACCTTATCACTAAATATCATGTAAAAATCCTGCAATATCTGAATCATCTCTAATGTATTGACCTCTTCTGTTTGTGGTGAATGGAAGAACATCACGTCAGATATAGGAAGGATACTTTGCCCGACTGTGTGAAGGTAGATTCGTGGATGGACTGGAGGATTTTCCATAGGGCTTAAGTAAGTGAGAGTAGAGTCGCTGTTATTATGCGGTGGAATATGGTGTTACTGTAGATTGTATTGTTTGGGAACTTAGAGTACGAGTATATCGACGTCAAAATCGCGACTAAAAACTAAAACCGATGGTTGTGCAAGAGAACTCACCGAAGATTGAATCCTCCCGCTTGAGAAGTTACTGTAGTAGCCCCAGGTGGAAGACAAAGGCTCTTTTCTTTCTGTATAATCACACCGAAAGACTTTGGTATAATTCCTGTGGTGATGCAAACTTGTATCGTTTCGCTAGCTACTGTACACACCCGTGATACTGATATAATGACACATGAGGTGAGTTGTGTCTTCGCGACAAGAGATACTCGAGTACAAGTCCCAACAATCAATATTCGCGAGTGGCGATGCCCGTCTTGGACTGCAAACAATGTATCAATTAACATTTATGCGATCACTAGGACCGACAGACATATGGGACCACTCAGTCAAAGACGAGCGCAATGTTTCCTGTCCGCCAAAATGACCTGACAATCTATTTCAGCACTTGGAGTTTCTGGAGTTCATAAAATCAACTTCATTGTGCGATGGCGTTGTGCGATGGCGCCAATTTTGTACATTATCGAGAAAATATTCGCGTTCCTCCTTCAAGGGAATGGTTATCCGCATCGGAGGTGGAGTAGTGGGCAAGCCGTTGGGAGCTTTCCGAGCATGCCACTGTCCTGTCAGCTCTCCATGACCTTCAAATGACCTTCATAATTTAGTACAAATATGGATAGTCCGCTGCTCCCAATTTTCAATCCGATCGTGTTTCTTTCAAGTGGAAGAATGTCTCAATACATTACTGGTAGTGGTACAGTTAAAGTCTGCGATGCTTGTCTTATGTATGAGAGCTAGAGCTTTTGCACTGTCGTCAATATCGCCTTGTTTTTCTTTGGGTGAACCGCATACCATGTAGTCTTCTCACTCCGCCCATTCACTGCTCGCAAGGAGCATGCCTCACCCCTTTTTGCGAGTGAGTCGTTGGAGCATTATGACTGGAAGTCTAAGTCTGTTATAATTTTGTTTCCTTTTGATGTTGAAGGTGTAATTTGTATTGTCTCCTACGCATTATCCCGAACATATTCATATACGAAAATCAAGTACCGCCCAAAATTGTTACTTGGATCGATTTTGCAAACTTTCTACCCATCCGAAAAGATCTGCATCACTCAACAGTTCACCTGACCCATCACCATTACATCCTCCCATCGCGTGTATCCCTTTTGACTCCACACGCCTGTCCAACTTTCAAAGCCCGCTAAAATAACTTCCAGCACCGAGGCGTCGTGAGTGCTTCCTTCCTGCATTCTCAGGGCACCGCTCATAATCCAAAGTTTCTGCCAACCATATCAATATGCTGTTTTATCATCTGGCCATTTTAATGGTTTTTATAGTGAAAACTATAGCTGTCCCAACCGCCCTAGCTATGGCTACTTTCATGAACGGACCCAAGCCAGTGGACCCTAAGATGACCTGCGATCAACTCCCCGAGAACTCCTGCCTCTACAGTTTCTACAGTTTCTACACCGATCTCAACTCAGCAACGACCACAATGACGGATCAAAAGTGCAACGATTATGGCCAAGATCATTTCGTATTCAACAGGAGTAAGGCTTGGATGTTAGATTTCGGTCCTGTCCCGGTAAAAAACCATGTCTGGGTTATTTCAAACTTCACCCGATTGAATACTCCAATGGCAACAGTTAGTTTTATGGGGCGATACAACAACCCACAACTTCAGTGGTTGGACAAAAGTTTCACTGTGTTAAAGTTACTTGACTTGAGCCTTGAAAAGACACTTTCGGATACCTTGGGTTTCGGACAGAAGTCCATAGATATCTATCGGGCTGAGATACCTTGTTAGCGTCAAAGGGCCCTCGAGATTCTGCGGACATTCAATGCGTCCCTTGTCGTGTTGAGATCAACATAATTAGTGTTACTTTGTGAGAGACCAAATTGCTTGTAACTAGGGAGTTCATGATTCCAAATCTAAAATTAATGATATGCAGAGCGTTGAAAATTTGTGCCAATAAAGATGATGAATGAGCCGGATCGTGATTTTTTTGTCAAGAGGATCTCTGTCACAAATATATAAAGCCTTTTCTATCCCGAATCCTATTCAGACAACAAAACAGTCTTTCTATACAATTCCGGGTTGCGCTGCATATACCCGCATCCTCTTCATCTCGATCGGTGTTTATACCAAATACACGAATGTTTGACCCCTCAAGCCTCAGATATGCAACTTGCATACTACTCGAGTAGGTACTCATCTTATATTGTGCAGTGTGGTGCAAACATTGAAATCTCAATGGAGAACATGTAGCACTTCTCTCATTTTGAGTCCCTAGTATGTCCCGAGTCATCAATGACTCACTCGCACTAACAGAATGAATCATTATCACCAGGTCGTACATCAACCTCTATTATTCTCATGACGCGCAATATTCATATCCGTGGCTTCTGATAATTGGCCCAGTCATCAACATTACCAGTTGAGGTCTAACTAAGCTTTCTGTCCTTCGCAATTTGCTACGACAAACTTCAATCACAAACACAACCAAACACGAACCGAACTTTTCAACATTTTGCAGTCAACCACAACCAACCTCCACTACAGACACAACCAAACATAGACGAACTAGGAAAACACTTCGTTTCTTCAAAATTACTAGCCCATACAACATCTACAAATACAAGCTTTCAGCCTTGAAGACAACAAACATCCTCTGTTGTCGAAGCAAACAATTCTACGAAATATTAGCCACCTTAGGCAGGTTCCAAAACTTCTTGTCCTCATCACAGCTAACGATCTATGCAACAGACCAGCATGAAACTCGTCATATTCTCTCAAGTCTTCCTCGGCTTCATTTCCATTATCCTCGGATCTCCCTTGTCTCCAGATGACTCGCTTGTTCCACTCGATATACGTGATGACTCAAAATGTCCATCCGCCAAAAGTGGCCTTTGCACTGTCGAAGTCCTCGTCTACACCGAATCAATAGCTGCCTTTGGCGTCAATCTTTACGATCAGGGGTGTACCGAGAAGTGTCATCAGATTTTCAATACTCGTAACACTCCTTTAAGCTGGACACCGGCATGCCTCGGAATCAAAAATTTGACCGTCCAAGTCGACCAGAACGGAGAATTGCACCCAATCATTCGGGATAAAATTGTAATTCACATTGGGATTGTGCCCGATGGAAATAAGAATGTGGTGACACACCGTGCTCCATTTCCATGTCCAACCTCGAGCGTTACTGCTGTAGCTACTTCTACTGCTGCAAAGACAACTACTGCTCCAGCAACTCCCGCGGGGAATCCATGTACTGAAATACCTATCGTTCCATCATGTATTCATCCCGTTGGAAGTGGCTTTACAGGCGAAGGCGTATAATGGATGAGGATGCTTGAATATCAAGACGGGTTATCTGGAGCTGGATTTGGATTGTAGAAGGAAAGGGCCGGCTAGCTGGGGGGGGAAGGGACGGATTACATTGGATTGACAATATAGATACTCAATATCACGTTGATGTTCACTCAATTCTATATTTTCGTGATTCATGATGATGAAGCTTTGTGGAAAGTTATAAAAACTTATCCAGCTGTATTGCAATTTACAACCGATTGCTTGTATCCCTATCCTTTCCACTTTCCTGTATACTGCGATGCATTGATGACTGATTTGCATTAATGATTGTTATCACATCGTTCACATGAGCTTTCGTGTGTTTTATGATATATCACATCTAATTGCACAACCCTTAGTTGTATTAATTATTGTTACAGTTTACTATATTCACTTTCAATCACATATACAACGGAGCAAGAATTGCAAGATGCACTTACTCATTTAAATCAGAATGCATCGCCATCAGAAATCGGTGGATATCCCGTCGCAATAAATATTCAGCCTCTCGCAAACTACCGCAATGAACTACACAACCACAAACTCAGTCAAAAACAAACCAAAAATGCCTCCTCAGTTACCTCCCTATATCATCTTCACAAATAGCCAACTTCGAGTTGTTATGCGATCGTTGTTATGCGATCAGAAAGGCGGCCTGCTCGGCTTATCACCTCCAGATCCATACTCATAGCTCTATTCCTCTTGATTTCGGAAAAAATCAAATGAGTTATGTGAGATTACAATAACGGATTCTTGATGAGTTCAGATATATTTTACACACTCCTCCACCACGCACGCACACTCAAACCAGTATCATCACAATGAAACTGATCCGGCTCTTCACAGCCATTCTAATCTCATATGTCAGGTCGAACGCGTCTCCTCTTCCCCCAACCCCAAGAATATAACTCCCGCACGGCATCTTGTCCTGCCGATCACAAAGATGACACCAAATGACACATGTAACTCATCGTACAAGGTGTTCCCGGTGCTGGTAGAGGTACTTTCGACAAAATCTCTGTAGTTTGCTAAGAAGGGCATCATGGATGATGGACATTAATATAAATACTCAAAGAAATATATGTCAGCCTGTTGGTACATGGGGCAGTGAGGAGTATGATATCATTTTGGTGAATGGCGCGCATATAGACCCACAAGCTTTTAAGGAGCTCAAGTCTGCCACTTATATATTGCTGTTTAAGTGTACAACTTGAGCAGCAAAGCTTGGGTGTGGGACTGGGGTAATAATAGTCGGACAACGCTTCAGGGCGATTTAAAATATGTAGATCTTTGGTCTGGTACTCTTCTTAGATGGATGATATTACGTTGATGATCAAACCCCGCTTTAGTTGCGTGAATCATTATAATAAAAGAAAGCAACCACCCAAGTTTTCATGAAAGTTTCTGTATGTTAAAAATACCAGGCAAATTTGGTACAGCCACAGACACTTGATGCCCTCTTGTATATGAGACGATGTTTTGAGAATGGTGAAGTGTAACATCGCTTCAATCACCGATATATCAATAATTGGTGGACTTTGTATTGAAACAGGATCAAAAGATATCGGGTTGAACCTGCCAATACCGAGGGCCGCATAGATCTCCTGAGGAGTTAACCCTTGTGCAGCTAGACTTTATTTTCGAAATCAAAGACTTGCTTCCCATCAACGAAAGATCAGACTAGAAGTCATATTTAAGTGTTTGTTTATATTGCGAATATGAATATTTTATGAAGCGAATATGGATGGACATGGAGTTTGTCAAACACTTCTCTGTCTTGTCATGTTGTCGAAGAACTAATTGCAAGTCCAACAAACTACCGGACTGATTCTTACTCACAGGACATTCTACTATGAAAAAGATCAGGTTCAGACCTACTTTTTGGAACTTAAATATGTCCTGCCATCAATCAATCGTTTATTATTTTTTACTCAGCATTTACTTTCTCCAAGACTTGAATTGTCATAAATTGGCTAGAAGCACTTTACTCGTATCTTATTCCTGGGCTCATCTAACAACCTCTGACGTTCCATCTCCAATCAAATGAAGTTCTTCATGATCTTCTTTGCCTTTGGTGCTCAAATTTCAGGAATCGCGCTGTCTCACGCTGATTGTCAGAGCGAACACGTTTGCGCATCAGCTCAAAATAGCTCTTGCACACTTGAAATATCTGCATTTATGCCAGAGGGTGGCTATAATCTCTATGACTTCTCTTGTTCAATTCTATGCTTCAAAGAGTATCTCAACTATTTCATACAATATCAGCCCTTTTCCTGGTTATCTCAATGTTTCAACGGGGTCAATATGAGTGTTCAAATTGATGCAAACGGAACGGTACATCCTGTGTCTTTGGGAATGATACAGCTTAAGCCTACGCTTGTGGAGAATATCACAAATCTTGTCAGATACACTGCGTACTTTGCTTGTCCAAGCAGGAGCTCCAATTTGACAGCTTCTTCTACTGGCAGCAACACCACGGCTTTATCAGTTGGTCCTGGCACTGCTTTCAATATGAGCAATTCTTCATTGTCTGTTTCATCGACTTTAACTACTATTCTAGCAGATTGGTCTTCTCCAACTTCAGCATCCTCTCAAAGACTCAGAATGCGACTACAACCGACGTTTCCTCAAGTCTGAGCTTGAGTATGAACGCAACTTCTACATATATTGTCACGTTGCTTGATGTTTGTGCAAATTCGAGTCAGTCATCAGTGATATGCACCACAACCACCGGTTGGTTATCTTCAGCAACAACTAGAAATACTTCAGCTCAACATTGAGTCATGGCTTTGAGAGGGAGATATTTAGCTGCCAAGTCTGGATTCAGTGCAGTGCGTTACATTCAATGGATATCAGATTATTTTCCCGCAGGAAGTCATGGTAGTCATGAAACTGAATATTTTCGAGCTTTCCTGTATCATAACTAAGCTTGATTGGTCGGGCCGTGTAGGGATGGTACTTGCTAGTCTGGACTACGTCAATACAATAGTCCAAGTGCGATGTAATTAACACATCTGCGCGACTGAACCCCCTGTCTCTATAATTGTAATGATCTCACTCGAGAGTTGCTCTATTAGGGTAAACATGGCTTGCATCAGAATTCCAAGGAGATTATTTCATGAGTTTAATAACCTATGATAATACTAACAACTAATGAAGCTTTAATTGCCTCCATTCTTATTGAATCTTTCGACGACTCGCTTGAAGATAGGGGTGTAAAAGTCATGCGGGTAGAGTGATCTGAATTTATGAGTTTCGGAGAATTCCAGAAATACTCAGAAAAGACCAGGCACGCTAAAAAGACTCTAAAATTTTGAACAATCATGAAAACCCAAGTTTACATTCTATGGAACGATAAAGCTCTCAGTCAATGGCTCTCAGTCAATGATATACGTCTTGGGTTTGAGCATAAAATCTCCTTTGGCAGATCAGAATTTAAAAGAATATAGAAGTTAACTAGAGCGTAACGAACTATAATTGCAGGCTCATTTTGACTTTTAACTGACATGGACTTGAAAGGTTTTAAAGACTTCTCTGTGATGTGGTATAATAACATAGCGATTGTTCTTTATGACAAAGGATTACAAAAGTCAGCCTTTGTCTCGACACTACCCTTTCATTATTCACACAACCACGAACAATCTATTTGGTGGACAACAGATCCCGAACAGATGCTCTAATATCAATATAGATATTTTATTCGTCTCCCCTGAGGTCGATCTCTATCAACTCACCATCACATCGGAACACCACCACATTCAACACAGAAACAACAATCATAATGGACGGCAATTACTGTACTATGGCGGAGACCTTCTTTAACGTCTGTGGACATGTAGTAACGGTGATTGAACATCACAGTGAGTGTACGATTCCACAAGGAAACCCATACCACATTCCTACTGTTCCTACTGCACACAAAGGACAACAGCTCAAGCTATCTGGCCACAGCTTGACCAGCCTTGGATGGGCTGGTGCGCAGATCACAGAAAGCAAGTGCATTCATTGTGAAGCGGTTGAGAGAAAGATACGGTTTGTTCCACCCCCGAACACGTGGATGTCTGATCTTGAAGCGGGGGAGCACAAGGCTCTCTCTTCCGCCGAGCTTGGATCACGAAAAGAGTTTTGGAAAAACTTCGTGTCTGACTTTGCCATTCTGTCCCAGAGACAGAACGACTTCAACAAAGAGCTTCAAGCCGACGTGAAAATGCTCGAAGACTACGATGCAGAATTTGACAATACAATCTACACAGAAGGACGAGGCCCATTGGAGTGGAACGTGGATTTAACAGGGATGAAACGAGACTTCTATGATATCGAACAACATTTCTACCTCAAAAGAATTAGATCAATGGGAAACCTAGAGATGGTGTATCTCTATGATCCCTTTAATTTATCACCTCTTTCGCATTCTATCCTCTATCCTGTCAAACCTGACGAAATCCCCAGTGGGGAAAGATGTGGGTATTGCAGAGAGGTCATGGATTCTGCTGAGCAGAGTGACAATGTGCAACGTATGTTTTGTGGTTTCCATCTCTATCATACAGAATGCATTCGTAGGTGGTGGCATTTCAAACGAAACAAAAATTTCAACAGTGTCGTGTCCGATTTGTCAAAAAACTGTCCATATGTATGCACCTGTATATGACGACACGTGGTATCCAGAAGAACACATCTGCGAAGAGTTGGTGGAGCATATGACTGAAACGTTTTCGGCGTTCTCGGGTGGGAATGGGGCGATCTAGGAACTCCAATCCGATTCGCAGATACTAACTTCCGCTGGCGGAAAACGCGGTGCAGATAGAAAAAATGTCACCCCCGGTACTCAAATGATGATATGCAGTCGTAATACAACTTTCAATCCTTTATAGATTTTCCTCTTTCGATAACCCCTGTGATTCCATGTACCTGTAATTCGTCTTCATGTGATTCTTGTCTGTATCTGGGACAATTTTGAGAATACTAATAATATGATAGTCAGAGCAACCGAGAATTTTTAATAGACTTTGTGATGACCTGTAGAATCCTGCATATTTTGAGAAATACCATAGGATGTTTAGTGTCGTTTTGATGAAATTGTTCCTGAGATCATAGACTCTTTAATAAACATTCCTATATTAATCTTTAAAGATTTGCATAGAGGTAGAGCTAGAGGATTCTACCCTTCCATCTCAAAAACGTACAAAAAGAAGAGTAGCAATAGCAAACACTGCATCACAATAAAATACACGGCGACGAGTTGGTAGATCATAGATTGAAGAGAGATGTTGTTTTTTATCATTCTTATCGTTAAGATTTCGAATTAGTGTAGAAGTAGAAGTAACATTTATATCTTCAAATTTCATATTTAGTGTGTATCAATAGAAAATATCGATGAATGAGATAGATCACATCTCTTCTTAAGTGGGGGGAGTCTAAATTGGATCGAAGGGATTAATTTTCAAAAAGTTATGATTTTGTAAGATGATTTAGATCAATCTATATTAACCAATAACAAATCAAATTTTATCTATAATAGATTCAATTGTCAGGGGTACTGCCTAAAGCAGCTAAGTTTGGCTAAGGGCTAATAGTTAAGGGACGAAGGGGAGTACTTAACTTCAACTTTAACTTTAATTTTAAATTTTAGACTATATAACAAGGCCTCGCAAGGCGGGTTATATATAATAGATGATCTGTAGATTACCCGCTAGTGGGTCAGATTATTAGAAAATCCGAATAAATATTTTAAATTATTTACAAAATCTATAATCCACTTAATTGAAGTTAATTCAAGGATTAAAACCTATAATAATCTTGAATTAGATTCACTATCTATTAAACTACAAAACAAATTGATTTAAAATCCTAATGAGAATTCGCAGGGCAGATTATTGAGCTGATAGATGATCTATCATAGAGTACTCGAGTAGATTACTTATAGATTGCGGATTATTTTTGTATAAGTCTATATTAAGGAACTTTAGTCTTTCCAGCTTGCTAGTAAACCTCTTTTTTCTTTAATAGTTTATTATAATACTGTAACTATTCGTTTCCTCAGAGTCTATACTTTACTAGCACTCCGTAATAATAAACACCAAAAGCAAATTTATATCTCATTTATAGTAAAATGTTATATAGAAATCAATAATCTACCCTGTGAGTACTCGTTGCGCAACCTATTTAAAATTCTATTAGATATTCGCAAATAGGATTATCAATTCTACACTTCCTCTTCATTCCTTATAGCCAAAAGGAAACAGTAAACACGTTTCCTTTTGAATAATCGATCGAATAGAGAAATAAGGATTTTCTTTGTCTCTTCGAGTATCTTATTGTTTTATTCAATGGCAACAGTCACTAGTCATATACTGTACTTCCTCTTTGTCAATCGAGATCACAATCACGTTGTTCAAATTTATTCTAAGAATCTGTTCACTAACAACAATCACAGAACAGATACCTTAATTTCAATATATATAATGTATGGTCCTCTTGTCTATTATCAATCCACTCTCTTGTCTATCAACAACCAACTCACCACAGCTCACTCACTACAATCAAACATCACCGCAACAAATACCGCACGGAATCAACCATCATGGACGCCGATCTCCATAACGAATTGCACGTGTGGCACAGCAGATTTGGCCACGCTGTCATTTATCGACTTCCTGCCACAATTGATCAGCCTCGCCCAAGTTCTTACACCCTGAACACATTCGTCAATGTGGGCGGCGAGCTTGAGAGACACGTCGGTTGGAGTACACAGCATTACACCCCAGAGGATGCCATCCGAGAGAACATCAACCTACAAACTCGCGTCCGACAACAACGTGACGAACTACATATCTGGAGCCATCCGGACGACGTGATTAGGTGGAATTATGGTGAGAGAACAAGCTACGAAACTTACCTGCAGGCTGAAAATCAAGAGAATGCGAACGAAGTGCATATCTGGAGCAATTATGGCGATGTCATCACTTGGGAAGACACTATCACAAACCAGGATGTCAACCCACAGGAAAATAACAGACATAATGCCATCGCACAGAACATGCAGGGCCATTGGCGCCGCTTGGGCACCGTTTTCATCACTCGCACAACTTTCATCGATCAAGAAGACAGTGACGATACCGTTTTCATCACTCGCACAACTTCTATCGATCAAGAAGACAGTGACGACGACATGGCAAATGCGGCATAAACTCGTGACCGGTTAAATCATCACGCAGATGCTGACTTCCGCTGGCGGAAAAAAGTGTGACATTTGATTTTTGGTAAGCTTGCGACCCTTGGGATCTGTATTTCTTATTTGGTCTGCATCTTTTATTATGGTAAGTAAAGATTCTATCCATTTCTTAATAAAACTTTGAATATTTTTTTAACTTTTCGCCTGAGCCCCCTTTTATGTGATTCCTTTTGTATTGCTTTCATCTCGCTTCCATGTTTCTGATATATATTGTTCCAGCTTGATAGTGTGAGAAACGGCGAATATTTTGAGGAATATCATCTGTTACCTCATTGAACCTTATTGATAATAAGTAGAGCCTCGCGAAGATGTTTTGAGACGTACACTGTGAAATTTGACGTGGTCGCTTGATAATTACGAAGTTTCGTGGCTGAGAACACTGCCGTGGCCTAAGAAAATGCGTATTTATAATGATCGCCTGCAACTGTACGCGGAAAACGATATAGGTTCTCCTGCAAATCAACTGATATGCTAGGAGCCTAGATTTAGAAGTCATGAAGGTGAGGTAAGAGGCTTTGGAACACTGTGAAGCACGCCCTGGCAGCTGCAAGCTCTTGGTTAATATATGTTGAAATAAATCGTCTAGCTCCTCCCTTTATCTTATTTATCTTACCGCACTATCGCAGAGTTCGTTGTAACGGTTGTGATCCCATGTTCTTGACTACCTTGGACTGTTGCTCCGTTCTCATATACAACCTCAATTTTTCACAAGACGATATCTTGTCGAATACGGATAGACTTCGATGTAATAATATCTTGCGAATGGCACACACGACTTGGAACTTCGTGGGGACTTCGTGGATTATTCCAAAGAGAGGGCGAAACAATATGGAGCCAGTAAGTCATATTACCTCCTCCAAGAATGCAGGCTTTTAGATCTTTCATAATGATTCAAGTAGAGGCGATAGAAAGAAATCTCTGGGTGGTTACTTTTCGAGATCATCGTGAGCAATATCGACAATTAGATTTTGGCTATGATTAGGACGAAACAGGTGCTTCAACAACATGATTGCTCATTTCTTTTCAAATTTGAAAAAGGCTCCCATATCAGCAAAGTCGACTGACTGTATCATCCTTTCACAAAAGCCACCCCATGTCATTGTTGATGATAATCATTACTAAAAGAAGATCTATTCCGTCTTCTAGTTCTCCATTTCGTCATCTGCTTCTATCATTGTGCAGTATAGTCAGTCAGTAGTTGACCAGTTGAATCAGTGCACTGATCAAAATTACACTTTAGTTTATTGGATCTGAATTATTAGTTAACCTAATATGTGTGATTTCGACTACTGATCAAAATCCGCCAATTGAAATACTAGGCTAAATAATACAATTTAGTTTATATGAATCTAACTGCCAATTAAACTACAACCTCTAGACTGTCAGCCTCCCAACTGGTTCAGACTACTGACTACACTACTACTATCATGTATTTGTTTGTCATGGACTCCATTGTTAACACCCTATAAAAATTGTAAGATTTTGCCATCACAAACACTAGTTGGAGGTGGTATGATCTACTGGATTCTCATCCTCTCCAAATTATATAAGATAACATGGCTGTGAAAGATTTTTGGTTGCAATCATTCATTGAAAATCTCATTGCAAACTAGATATCGGTATAACATGTGTCATTAGTGTTCCTGATTTCCTTAAAATCGTGCCATCATCAGTGAATTTACAAACTATTGAGATGATTCTTCCCACACTGGCAATGAATCTTTAAAATCAAACATATATTGGCAAATTCACTGATCGAATTAAAGGCTTTACCCCACTTCAGTAAGCAGCTTCGGATTTCCTGGTTTGGGGCCGTATGGTTCTCGAAATCTTGATAACCTTTGAGAATAACAGAGCATCCCCTACAACAGAATAAATTGTTCCCTTGTCCAAATTTCGGTTGTACAATTCCTACTCACCATCTGTCATGACGTCCATCGGGGAATCACAACAACCAGACAGAAATCATTCAGAGATAGAGGTATCTGATACCAAGATACTAGAGGACAACGATGATTCTTCGATCATAAAACAATATGAGGATGGCGTCTTGTGGTGCTCGTGGCCAAGCGGTAAAGGCCCTTACTACCCAAACTCTTCTTCGATATACCATGGTAGACTTCGTCACGAGTATCTGAAACAGAAGGATATGGAAAGGACCCAAAAGTATTATCCTGATGTTAGTGCTGAGCTTGCTCTACAGAGATACGTTTGTCAGTTTTGGATAGAGGGAACCGAATTCGTCAAAGATGGAAAGATCTATATCATTGGCGCTGGTACTGATTCCCGAATATTGATTATGAAGTGCGCTTAACTGATATATTGTGTATAGATATCAAGGTGTCTCGCGATAAGTCCAAGTGCGCTGCTACACATTACGAAGAGGCTGTTGATGATAATGATTGCACATACATTGTGACTCAGCCTTTAGCCTATCCAAGCCGTCGTCTTCGGATGGATATTGTCGACCAAACAACCTCTAAGATGAAAGAGATCCGTCAAAGTTTGGGGATTCACCCTAGCGAGAACTTGTGGAATGTACCAAAATCTCATCGCTGCCACATTTCCAAATTCCCACAAGGTATGTTTTCTTTTGGTCATTATTACAACATAATCTATCTGGCTGCGGCTGCTCGGGTCTAAAACACTCAACTAATCATGTACTCGCACAGAAATTCTCGATCTAATCTTTGAAAACATGCTATTGGTAGTCTCAGGCGTGGCTGTGGATCCACAGGTACTCACCACAAATCTAAACTGGGCGGGGCCATATCTACCAGGATACTACGGAATGGCATCATACACGGAGTCTACATACCACACTTGGGCTGTGGACATCATAGACAAGTATCAACCACTTTATTCCCCTGATTCGGTTTACGAAAGCTGGCGAGGATCAGCAATGGTCAAAAATAAGAAGATATACCACATGGGAAGAGAAATCACACAATTGAATAGAATCACGCGTCGAGCGATCGACGCTACTTTCCTCCGGACATGCAAGCAATACTTGAAATCTGGATCTGAAATTCTTTATGGGAAAAATACATTCATATTCAACGTGTTTCCTCTCTCAGGAACGGAATTATTGCCATGTTGGATTGAAGGAGAGATGCACATGCCTGACTGGGAAAGGCCGGAACTTAGCCAGTTATATGATTGGCCCCAAGCAATTCATTACGTCATGGATCAGATTCGAGAGGGTGTTCCACTCAAGCAACTGGCGGGCTGGGTATATCACAATCCATTCCTTCGTTTTCTCTACGTTATTCGTCCACGCAATGCGGCTTTGATCAAGACTCTATACTTCTTTTTCACAGTTAAAATGCACGACTGCGCTTTGGAATTGGATGATGAAGGTATATGCAAGGATTGCCCAATGGACCCTTTTCCCGAAATGTGCATGTACATCCAATTTATCAACGAATTGCGTCCAGGGGTGGAAAAAGTTATATTGGATATGGATGCTGAAATTTGCCGAAATGCAGACGGTGAGACTGACTGGCTCTCGAAGGAGAAAGAATTTGAAGAAGCGACGACTCCGTTCTTGAGGGATCAGATTAGAGAGCTTAAATACGTCAAATCATTGGTTCTTCGTTCTAGTGATACCGGTCAAGCTTATGACGACGAACCTGGGGATAGCTACAAATATCTGGATTATCCAGTCGCTAAAGAGACAATTCAATGGTTTGAAGACAGAGCAAGAAGTTGGGCGAAGGAGGAGAACTAGAATATCTTCAGTGTGTAGTAGATAATCGATGCTTCACATATCCATATTTCCAACACTGCATATTTTGTAACAATTTGTGCCACAGTGTCAAACAGTCACTTCTTTTCTAAAGCCTAACGAACATAACCATTTACCCATCAAAAGTATCAACTTCTTTCGAATCAATAATTGCACTCTCAATATCGGACTCCAACCTACACAATTCTCCCTTCCCGGTTTACAATGCTTAATTCCTAACTTTTATCTGGAATAGTGATTCGTGCATCTCTACTTCAACTAAATGTACACAATACAATTACTCTGTTGCACATCGACATAAGCCCCCTTTCTAAGCATCATTGTCATTACTCTACCAGGTTATTCTGAAACAGACAACGTAAATTCTTATCCAAGGTTCGAACTTTGAACACTTTCTGACACGAGAATCCAGAATACGCAAGCTCTTTCCGAACATCAAACAGCCGTTAGTTGAGTACTTCTTATAGCTTAGCTTAGTGGTTAAACAATGACTCATTCTTACATGGAATGATCAGCCACTGATAACCAAGAAACAGGCTACAACTCGCAGATACATTCGCTGTTTCAAAAAGGAAAAAAATAAACATAATCGAGCGAGCTCATTAGTATAATTTCATAAGCAAAACCCTAAACAATCTAATTTTATATAAAATGTATGAAATGGAAATAGCCACAAAATAGCATAGTAGCATTGGCTTCGACAAACTTGTGTCCTCGCTATTATATCATATCATATCAATAGCTGTTCATAATAGTGATACTAAAAGTAACGGTGAGAAAGATATCTATTTATCTTGATCTATCTTGTCATAAGATATAGACAGTTTTTCCACCGAAAACAATCTCACATTCTCTATCTCTCTTTCAATTCCGGTGATATTCTCGCTGGATATCAATACTTGTTTGTTGAAAGGACTACTTTCGAGTTGTTGACTCATCATTTACCGAGACTATGTCTGGCACTGAATTACTGATCGTGTAATTTCATTAGTAGTCTAGTCTAACATTATATCTACAACTATCTACATCTCTATCTCGTGCAAGAAACACTCCCCGTCAATATACAACACCTGCACTGCAGCACTGCAGCACCTGCAGCACCACTTTCGGGTATAAAATCTACCATCGAATCCAAGCATAAAGTTGAAAGCTTTTAGACTCTCCCCAAGTCCCCACCCATTAGCGCTTTACCTCTTGCACGACCTTCTCCGTTTCTCCCCTTTCCAAGTCTCTCCTTCCATCCACACTCGTAACTGCAACAATTTCACTACCCGTTACACTCTCACTACTTTCCTCCTCTTGTTCCTCCTCCTCTCTCACCACCGGCTTATCACCCGGTCTCTGCAATCCCTTGTCTTTAATCAACACACAGAGACACAAACAAAAGCCAATGATCGGTACCCAGAGCAGGAATACACTCCTACTCGCCCCCATATACGCATCTAGAACTTCATTTTTCTGTTCCGTAGTCAGGGACGATGAGTTTGGAATACTCAGGATCGATGCTAAGATTTTGTCTTTAAATCCTGCAGGTAGAGGTATTGCTAACGTGTTAAGATGTGATTTAATTGAATTTGAGAAAATAGTCGATGAAATAGCTAAACCTATTGCACCACCCAGTGCGCGCATGAAATTTCTGGTCGAGATAACGACTGCGCGATCACGTTTGGTACAATGAGCTTGTGCTGCTATAAGCGTGGGCTGGAAGACAAATCCTACACCTGCACCTTCGGTCAGAAGGATTAGGACCATCTTCCATTTCTGTGTCGTTCGGGAGAACAGAAGCACAAGCCCTGAGCCCAGAGTCCAGAGAATGAATCCCATCCAGATGATTTCGCCATAGCGTTTTGTCCTGGAAATGTATTGACCCGATACAATACTAAAGAGAGATTGGGTGACGACGAATGGAATGGTGAGAGCGGCGGACATGAGAGGTGAGTACTCGCGGGCGTTTTGGTAATAGACGGGGAGATAGTAGAGATGAGAGTAGTAAACTATACCGAAAAGGAAGTTTTGGGTGAGGATGGCGAAGACGGCGGGATCTTTGAAGAGGTACAGAGGCATCATTGGCATGACAGCAAATTTCCATTCCACAACGAGGAAAGCAACCAAGCAGATTCCACCCAAAGTGAGCATGGAGATAACCATTGGACTAGACCATGCGAAGTAGGTACCACCACCTGAAACCGGTATTAGAATGAGCAGGATCGCTGCTGTCACAAGGAAAATTCCTGGGTAGTCGATGACGCGAATTTTGGTTGCTGTAGAGCCATGAACTTTACTTGGAGGAAGTGTCCATGCTACCATGATACCAGATAGAACAACAAGCGGGCATATACACCAAAAGAGGCCTCGCCATGTCGAATTCTGAACGAAAGCGGCCGCCAAGAATGGTCCTATGGTATTGCCCAAACCGATGCATGAACCCAAAATTCCCTGATATCTAAACCTAGTCAGTCACAGCTCTAGATCTTCAATGGCTTGAAAATGTACTAACTTTCCACGATTCTCCAAAGTAACAACATCTGATACAATCATCATAGACAAGGCCATGATCCCACCACTCCCTATTCCCGAAATACCCCTAAAAACATAAAGCTGGGGACCCGTCTGAGCAAACCCACATAGCAAATCTCCTAGCGCTAATAATCCTACAGCAGTCAAAAACACGACTTTCCTTCCTAAGATATCTGATATTCTTCCATAAAGAACTTGGAAGATTGTGTTGGCAATCAAACTTGAAGTACCTGCCCAAGAAATTGTAGTGGCAGCGTTGAGATCAGCTCCGATCGTAGGTAAAGCTATACCAATGGAGTTTTGATCTATAAGAGTGATAAGAAGAGCGAACGCCAATCCACAGAAAACCACTATGAGTTTTCCTTTTGGAAGAATATTTGTCTCGATACGGACCAATTCATGGCCACTAGGTTCTGTCATGGTAGCCAATATAATATAGAAAACTTAACGCCAAATTATATTCAATAGTGAAGGGAAGAGAAATACATGTTAGATATAGGAAAAAGAAGCATGGGTAGGGAGAGAAATTTTGCCGGATAGTCGGCACTTATCCGCTATTAGTTAAAAGATAAAAGATGTGATTCAAGCTTTTGACAAGCGCTCCTTCGTCTAGTTGGCTCCTTTTGCTAGTATACATCATAATTGATATTTGACAGGCGTCAGTGGCCCGTTTAGACATGCTTGACAGAAGGGGGCGGTGACACGAATTTCGTTAGCAAATCTGCGCCTCCTCGCATAATTATACAGTAACAAAAGATTGGAAGGAGGGCTAGATCGAATATCTGTTGAGTACCCATTCGAAAAGGTTTTCCGAAAAGCGGTGTTGCGAGTCCGAGTATCGGATTGGAGGATTACCGGCCATTCCCATAATTTACTTTAGTCTGGATTTGCTGATAAGGAAAGGTTTGTTGTTGATTTGTGGGGATTAGATCCGGGACCGAGATATCGAACTTTGGCTGGTCCCTTGATTTTATACGGTACTGTATATATAATATCGAAGACTGCTCCGAGAATGTATACCGCTCAACGGTGCGACCTCGAAGGCGCAACCTTGAAGCTACATCCTCAACAGCGGTGCAAGCAATTCGGAACGAATCCTAAAGAAATCCATCCTCATCAAAAAAGGAGAAGATAACTCTGCCCGAATAAGACTTCGAGAATAGACTCAGGCCAAAATCCAAGCTTAGATTCCAACCTTTCAATGGATTGGGACCTCGAAGTCGAAGAGGATGAAGCAGAGAATGGCCTCATTCCATGATGCCCCCAATCACATGATTTTAATTACCTCTTGCGCTGGGAATCGGTGACCTTGCTTTGAGAAAGCCCATGAATATTCTCGAAGCAATGTGATCTTACTGAATCCATCAGATACACATCTTATAATGTTGTCTGAATTGAACTGGAACATTTAGTAAACGCATTGCATAAAGATGTTCTTGGACATTACATACCTACTCGAGTACACAAATAGTACAGTTACCGTAAGTAGCCTTGCATACAGCCTCGCTCTAAGCGAAAAGGCTTGCGTCTCGTTCTCCTGCCTGTCTCTTCCCATATCGTAACTAATCTCCTTGTCCACCCTCATCTTGATGATCTTTTTTCTATTCGATATCAGTATCCTAATATCTTCAATTGCACTGTACAAATCACCCAGGAAAACTGCAAAACAACCTCCAAGATGAATCCCTACGAAGGTTTGTACACCATCCTTCCCCTCCTTGCCCCGCCTTTCAACTCCGTATAGCTACTGGATACTCTGAGCTCCTACTAACACATTATAGTCGAACACAATATAAAAGCCTCGGCGCAGCCCGCTGGACCCCGTCGCCGCCCATCTATGTCCTCATTCTTCAATCAACTATCTCAAATCGAAACCTCAACTTCTACTACCGATCCCAGTTGGCATCATAACAATCCCCATGCTGTTCCTACTCCCGTATGTGCTCTTCTTCTCACCCTTCATACACATGTCCCCCCTCTTGAACTATGAATACAAAAACTAACCAACCTCAAACCTACAGGTCGACGTAGCAGCCTCCTACCGTCTCCTCCAAGATCAATTCCTCACGCTCCGCACCAACGACCCCACAAACCGCACCACCACCGCGCCCCTCCTCGACCTCCTCATCGACTCCATAACCGCTCAAATCGACGACCCACCCACGACCGTTTCCGGGTGCTCGCAAGCCTACCTCGACACCATCGATCGGGTATCTCAAAAAACTATTGGCCCTGAGGAAACCTGTCCTATTTGCGGAGAAAAGTTCCTCGATGATCAGTATTGTTTAGTCGTTGTGTTACCGTGCCATGCGACGCATAAGTTTGATTTGGAATGTGTGGGGCCGTGGTTGAGGTTGAACGGGACGTGTCCGTTGGATCGGAAGACGGTGGGGGATGGGGAGGAGAGGGGGAAGGAAGCTGTGAGGGAGAGGGAGAGGATGAGGAGGGGGGTGGAGGGGTTGGGGTTTGGGGGTAGGGAGGGAGACGCTGTTGATGGGGACACTGAGAGGAGGAGAGAGGAGGAAAGAAAGAAAAGGGAGGAGCAAGAGGAGAGCGATGGGGATGATGGAATGTATGCTTAAGGCTGTATGGAGGGGCTAACGAATACGGATTGGAGATCAAAGATTCACGAAAGATGGGCCAAAAAGGACGACTACGAAAAGGTTGCAGAGCACGGCATGAGTGAACCGAGAACTCGACCACAGGAGACCGGTGGCGAACATGGAATATGAGGTATTTGAAAGAATGAACCCTCCTTTTCTATCATGGATCTTCTAGAACATACTTTCAAATAGGTACTGGGTATATTGCAAACCCTATTTATTGCAATGCAAATAGTAAAATAAGCGACGATACCATTTCACCACGGTTACTTCATCATTCATCATTCAAAGCTCATACTCATACCCATACATAGTAAATACAACAACAACATTAATCTGTAAATAGATAGATAGATTACTGCCGCCAAGTTTATTTACCTCCTGATCCTGATCCTGATCCTGACAAGATAATATACAGGTATGCTATGGTATGCTATACTATGCCATGCTTCTCGCCACATACTCTAATCTATACTCTACTTCCCCGAAACCGAAACCGAAACCGAGACATGTCGTTCCATGAACGATCCAAAATTCCACTCTACTCACCTACCTCACCTCACCTCACCTCACCTCACCTCACATCACCTCCCATCACCCCCATCAATTCAAACCCCGATCAAAGCAAAGAATCCAATGACATAAACAAGCAAGCCACCGATGTACAAGCCTCCGATGTATTGAAAAATACCTACGCATCTCCCCTGGTCTTCAAGTATCGTACTGACTGACTGACTGCTGAGCATTGAGTTGAGATAATTCCCATAATGTGATGATGTGATGTGATGTTATACGAGTTACCCAAAAAGAAAGAGCAAGAATCTTGGATAAGAACGTTGTCCTTGGCTAGATCATCAATCAGCGAGACGAATATCTATCTAGTCTAGGAGCTGCAATTTCCTCATTGGGATAGGTTCAAATGAATTCGAAGTCCAGTCAAGAATAAGTAAACGATCTATTATGAACTATCCATCTCACTCCCTCTCTCTCTCTCTCTCTCTCAATCAATATGATACGGAAAAGGTTTAGGTAAGGATCTTTTCAAACCAGACCTGGCAAACCACCACCATCTGAATCTGTATCCGAAGAATAAACCTCAATATGTTGATTCATACGCTGCGCAAAAATCTTTGTGCAAGCATGTATGCCTCTTCATACCAAATTACACCACACCTCTCTCTTTGTCCCCCCATCCGACCCACTCTAATCTTCGAGTTTGTGTATCTCCTCTCTCTCTATGTTCACTCTTTCGCCATCCTCAAATTCGTAGATGAATTGATATCTAAGCTTGGACAGCACCTTCTTGGGTCAACATATATTTATAGGCACCGAACGCCGCAAGTCCACCGATGAGGATGATGGCGTAAAGACCAAAACCCATTCCGGATTCGCTTTGGGAGGAGGATACAGAGGCGTTTGCGGTTTGGGCTTTTGGGGTTGGATCACCGGCCTGAGAGGAGATGTTAGCTTGAGTTTATACCGAGGATATATGTGATAGAGTTTGAATTTTGGATCCGAGGAAGACGGTAGAGGATGGGGGCGAGAGTAGGGTTGGGAGAACATACCACGCGCTTCAAAGTACCAACGAGTAAACCTTCGAGAATCTCTCGTGATTCGTCACTGTGTCCAACGTCTTCGAATGCTTCGGTTGCGTCCTGTCCGCCGACGTCGAGGAGGACTTCTTCCCCACCACTATTGAGGAAATGCGAATCAGCAATCTGTCCATATAGATTTCGAGTTGAGAACTACGAAGAAAGTGGTATGTTGAGAGAGAATGTAAAGCGGAGGCGACGAAGGGCCAGGTGAGATGAGATTTTGAAGTATGTATAGTGGGATAGGCAGCTAGCTATCCTTAACCACAACAACATCCTCTCACCAGCACAATTTTCTCATCTCCAATTCATCTGCCAGTCCAGTCTCTCACTATCACTCCCTCTCAACGTCCACCCACCCCAATCTTCTCATACTCATCCCTCTCTCCCACCATCCGCAGAAAAGAAATCTTGACAAAACAAAATAAAGACTTACGGATGCTCATCAACAAAAGCCGAAGCATCATAGATATTATCATGAATAACCATGAACAAACTCTTCTTGGTCGTATGTTCGGCCACCTCGGCATATGTATATTCCTTAGTTTCAGACATCTTGACTTTTGTATATGTATCGGAAGTCCGCGGTATTAATTTTCTTCTTTAAGTATTTATATTTGCAAGTGTATCGTGTTCGTAAATCGTCCGTCTTTCAATTGCCTCCAAGAAGATCGGTGAGTATTCGTAAAGTATGATATTGTAAAGGACAGTTTCTCGGTTTCTTCTTACTTCTAAATTGATATGACAAGAAATTATTATCGGGTGGTGACACTTGAGTATGTACTGATTGGGATTCGCAATTCACAAAAAATGAGACAATCATAAATGACAGGCTAGCAAGCTAGGAGGCTAGATAGTTTACTAACTTTAGAACTCGGAGAACGGATCTCCAGTGCACGCTAGACGGAATTTGGTTAAAAATTGCTCAGCACTTATTTCCTCATCTATGATTGGATGATTGGTCGAAATAGGATAACTTTTGGCGGAGTAGAGGGGTGGTTTATGGTTTGGCTCATCCGACTTCATTAACCGTTAACGGTGTGGGAGTAACGGTAGATGAAGAGGGATGATTAGGTGAGAAAGTAAGATGATGAAGGATTGGCTTATATGAGTCGGGGTATCAGAAGGTTCTGGGAAGTTATGATTGATTGACTGGGGGAGGAAAGAAGGAGTGAATTCCGAATTTCCGTGGAAGTAAGATGTTACTTATGCCGCCAGAAAGTCCGCACCTCGGGTAAGTTAAACTACAACAGGAATAGCCTAGTTTTTAACTTCCTTCCCGAATTGCAAACTTTCTGGCAGCATGAGTAGAAGTGAGATGTAGATGTACCGGTAGACGTGGGTTTAAATGTGGATGGAGATGTAGGTGTAGATGTAGATGTACGGAGTAGATGTATGTACTCGAGTAGATAATCCATCCCCCTCATTTCGTCTTATGGTGGGTTATTTTGATACCGGTATCAATGTTCTTGAGATGGGTTTGGTGATGAAAGGGTGGTGAATATGAAAAACCAGGTCCTAATCCACAAACCACTCTGCAATTCTATATCCCAATCCCAATTCAGGAAACTTTCCATTCAAGATTTCATCGCATGCTCTTGCTAACAAACAGACCGTTTCATTTCTCCCCTACTTGCCATATTTCTCACTCCCTCCCTCTCTCCCTCTAATTCGTATCTATCTTCTCGAGCTTCCGCCACCAATATCTTGTCCTAATCTATACCCCGCAATCTTGTCCCATTCAATCTTTTGTCGTGTAATAGGTAATTGTCTTCTTAATCCTTTAAATGCCCCTTCACTCAAATTGTTGAATCCTTTATTAACTTCTTCCTGGTACTTCTTTTCTGCAACGGCGATTTCTCGTACGATACTGCTGGCTGATGACAATGCGGTTGCTGAAATAGGTTTAGTAGTCAGAAGTCGAACATTTCCGTCTTCGTAGTAGTGAACATCGACTTTTATGCTGCCAGTGAGAGAAGAGGACAAAGTTTCATAAATATACAACGAGCGCCAGCGACCGTTCCTATTTGTTGTTAGTCATCGAGATATTTATATGAGTTTTGTATGGGTAAATGTACCAGAAGTTGTTTGGACTGTATTTGTTGGCAACAATAAGTATTGCGATCTTCGAATCATTTTCGATAGGAAAGACGCCATATGATGCGTTTGGAAAGTGTTCTGCTACATGCGTACCCAAGCTCTTAAGAATTGATTTCCTATGTTGCGTTAGAACATAGATCATATAATCATCACCCGTACTTACACAAGATCTGCTTGGCTGCCTTCTAAAACATGGCTTTGCACTGCATTCGCTTTCTTCATCCGCATGTCAGTTCGGATCTCGCACACGGGATGAAGAGAATATATACCAGCGTGATATGATCGAAAGTAAAACTAGAAGAACTCTCGACATCGTAGTATCTTCCATCCCCCAAAGAATTATGTGAACTGATTATAACCTTCGTGAAACCGTCAGCCCTCCTTCGTATAGTATCGATCTGCCATCACAAAACCAACATCTTGACTGCTTCCTGGGAGTTTGACCGTCGCAAACTGTTCCTCATTGTATCTTTCGAATGCAGGACCGAGTTCCGAGACCAGATTTGGGGTGTCAATAGTCAAAGCCTTAATATCTAGAGATCCCCCGTATTTAGTATGAAGTTGAAGATTCTACAAAGGAGAAAGTTATTCGCGAAGTTCGTACCGGCTATGACATCTGCGAGCTTCCAGGGAACAGAAGTCAGTAGAGAGCTTAGATTTGTATAAAGAACGGATCATACCTCTCCTGGTGGAGCTCCTTCAACAAAGGCAGAAATGGTCTCTACTTGTGAGGGCATGTTTAAAGAAATTCGATGAATGAAAATGAAGGTTAACGCTAGTATCTCAAGTAAATACAAACTGTACCGATATTTGTCCTCGCTGGCTTGAATCAACCAAATATGAAGCTAAATCAATTGGGTAAACACGCGAGGCTGTAGTTCACCCCTCAATTGGTGGCAGTGGGGTGGCACGGGTGTGGCTAGTGCTAGTTGATTTGACTTTGAGATTCTTCTGCTTCTTTCCTTTCTTCACCTTCACTCCGATTGTGTCGACAAGTATGTCTTCCAATCACCAAAGTCAATGGGAATATCATAATAAGAGGCAAAGTAAGTGTACTTTTGAACTCTTTCGGATACTGGTAATGTTATTCGAGTTGAGATTCTTTTGCTTCTTTCCTTTCTTCACCTTCACTACGGTTATGTCGACAAGTATATCTTCGAATTACCAAAGTCAAGGGAAACATCATAATAAGAGGCAAAGTAAGTTTACTTTGAACTCTTTCGGATGTTCGAATTGAGATTCATAACCAAAACACACTAGGTTCGAACATTGATAGATATGTAAGGCACTGTCGTCGATCACACAACGGACGATGGAGTGTTGGTAGTCCAAAGCTTTAAAGTTCTCTTCTACGTATGGCTGCTAAAAGAAGTACATTTTTCGTCAGCCGTCGATGTTAGATCTAGCTACATCTCTGTGCTATCCCCCTTCGACAGAATCTTGCTCTGCTCTTGTTTCCCACACATAAAATTCCAATATCACAATTCTGATACCATATTCGTTCCCATATACTTCAAAATCTTCGTGCTAGGTTCCTTTGCGCTTGCCTTCTCATAGCCAATTTTTGATTTCAATGGGTGTGTCCTCTCGAATTCCCGTTAGCAGTTCGCACGCCATACGCCATACGTTACTAAGACATGAAATGCCTCCCCATCTAGCATCCATCATACAGCGACTAATATGCATTTCGAAGATACTTCTTCCCGGACAGCAGACAAACATGTTACATGTCTCATCCGTCATGGAAGAAATCCATTTTACAAAGATTTCCCCACGAAAACTTATTGAATAATGCGCCACCGAGCCATTGCTGGTATAACGATTCTTCAACTTCAGAGCTGTATATAATAAGCTCATTCACTTGGAAAGATTCTTCTACTTTTTTTGACAGAACCAATCAAAGATCATACATTCATTATTATGCCGTCCCGCTTTTGGCCTCCTCGGTTGTTTACGCACTTGCAAACTTCCCAACCGCAACTCAACTCAACCATCAACCATCAACCATCAACCATCAGCTTTCCAATCCTCAACACCAACTACCACCTGTCAATTCTCAACTCAATGGCTGCAATCAGCGTAGCCAACATGGACTCTATACTCGTTGGCAACCATTGCTTTGCGGGTATCGATGAAGAATCTTCGAAGTTGATCATCCAGCTTCAGCTTGCAGATATCGAGCGCTCGTCTTCAAAGGGGAAAGGTCGCGCCGACGATGTGTCCGATGTCTCAATCGCATTTAAGCTCCAGAAAAAGGAGTTGGAAAATGACGCGTTGTTTCTATCGGATCAACAGATGACAAGAAGCATTGCATTGGCCGTACAATCTGACGGGGAAATTGTGACTGAAGCCGTATCACGCGACAACGTTTCTGCAAGAGATCACACAATGGCTATTCAATTATACCAAGGTCCTGGTACAACAAATACCACACCAGAATCCGCTGTCATTGCTCAATCTGATATACAAATCATAGATGAAGAGGTCTTGGAAAAACTTCAAATCTTGTATGTCTCTGGCCGCAATACGAAAAATGACGATACAGTTGAGCTGAACGATAGAGGTTGTGGCCCGGTAGCTGGTTCACTTCCAGAATCGTCTAGTTGGGCATCCACTCGGCCTGCACCCCCTAAAACCGCAACAACAACAACATGTGTTGTCTGTCAGGATAAGATTAAGTTCTGCAATGCGGCTCGAGTACCCGGTTCCTGCCGTTACGAATACTGTCGCGCCTGTCTTGAGCATCTTTTCCTTTTATCAATGAGCAATGAATCACTCTTTCCACCCCATTGCTGCAGCAAACCTATCACCATCGCCAGCGTGCACCTTTTTCTTACAAGTGATATTGTATACGCTTTCGAACAAAAGAGAATCGAGTTTGAAACGCTGAATAGAATTTACTGCTGCTCTAAGCGTTGCTCAGCTTTCATCTATCCATCAAGGATTATCAATAGCGTCACCACTTATGGAAAATGTGGTACACGAACTCATACATTGTGTAAGATGGAGGCACATCTCGGAGATTGTTCAAATGATACCGTTTTGCAAGGGGTTCTGGATATTGCCAGAGAGAAAGGCTGGTAGAGATGTTTCTCTTGTTGGATTATGGTAGAACTGTCAGTTGGCTGTAATCATATGGAGTAAGTTTCTACATTCCATATCCACTTTTAGTATGTGCTTATATTATAATCTTCAGGTGTAAATGCGGAGCCGCATTCTGTTATACTTGTGGACAGAAGTGGAAAACCTGCAGATGTGAAAGATGGCAGGAAGATAATTTGGTAGCTCGCGCGACTGAAATTGCAAATCGCAGACCAGAGTATCAACTGCTCGACCGCCCCTATCAAGTTATCGGACAATCATCTGCGACCGACGCTCAAATTGCAGTAGCGGCCCAAACTCTTCGAGAGAACCATGCGTGTGAGCACAACGGAGGTTGGAATAGGGTCCAAGGAGCCCACCAATGCGAATCTTGTACAGCCACCTTATTACAGTACATTTTCGTGTGTACTCAGTGCGAAATGGCGGCTTGCAACAGATGCAGACTCAATAGATTGTGATGGGCGCGAGTCTGAAGAAAAGCTCAATGCTGTATAACAATGGTGGCTCCAATTCGTGAGGCTGCTGGTACTGATATGACATTGTTTAGTGCAATTGGGATCACGGATTAAGAATTAGGGAACACGCCTGTACACAGTATTTGGTCCTCGGACAGGATCATTGAAGTTTATCAAAGGACACACTTGAGTTGTCTCTGAGAAAACCGTTGATAATAATCAAATACTACTAGGCTTACAATCATTCCTTCTGCTTGTCATGATATCATCTGAGCCTACAGAAAAGGTCTTCGGTGCTAGCGATCCCAATGACTTATCACATTCTATACTTTACTGGTACCCTGACTCTCCACCTTCATAAGATATACTCTAGAGTATAATAACAAATATGAGATTTTGGTGAGTCAACATCCTTATGACATGCCATTGAAGTTTATTCAAAGTTCGAGTAATAGCTTTGACTTTGCTGGTTGTAAAAAGCACTATTATATTCATTCATATACATACATGTATTTGAAAATATATTACATCCCGCAAACCCAAGTGTACCCCATCCACATTGGTATTATTTTCCCTCCGTTTGATATTGAAGACAAAATAACTACAGCTAACAAACAATCTCGACCAACATATCCAGTACTCATTATGCTATACAGTAACCTCCTTTTTCATCCAAAGATCCACCTCAAGTCCAAAAATAATACCTATAATCAACAATGTTACCTCGAGCTCACCCAAACAAACACGCAAATCATCCAATTACCCACCTAATTAATCCCTCCGACTATCCTGTCTCTCCCTAACCTTCCACTCCGCATCATCCAGCTTCTTAACCGCCTGATCAAAGTTCCCCAATAACTCCTTCAAATGCCACCATCCAAACCCGCCTCCTAGATTATATCCACCGCCCTTATCCAACAAATTAATCGCATAACCTAGCCCCTCATACACTTGATCCGCGCCCTTTAGCACACTTACCGCTTTATCCCTTACATACTCCAGGCCCTCTACTGGCGCCGTCCTAAATCCTTTATTCCCCCAATATCTTTTCGGCCAACGATCTCTCACCTCTCTAATTTTCCCCGGTAGTCCCCCATGACTCCCGCCTTTCGTCGACGTTAATCTGTATTCCAGATCTGGGATTGTGGTTTTGCGCCACATGGAAATATAATGATCGATATCGCCGGTAATATTCATGAAAGATGCTCCTTTAAAATGAGCTTCGTAGGGTTCATCTAGCAGGAATCTCTTCCACTGTCTTAACCACCAGCGTGCCCAATTTCCCTTTTTCTGTCCCAATTTATCGAATTCTTCCTGGAAGATTTGGCGCGAAGATGTGACTTGATCTTTTACGCTCGTGATTGCGTTGTTTCGAGATCTTGCAAAGGCTTCCCAGTGAAAATCAATGTTGTCTAATTCTCCCAGCAGATCATGCATCGAGCGAGCAAAGGGATCGGTATTCTTTACATAATTGCTATAATACCCCCTAAGATCCTCACCCGCGTCGCGAAACTGTCCAGGAATGCCTTCTACCAAATACCCATCCTCAATCGTCTCCGCAAAATCCCCCGCCATTTTCAACACATCGTAGGTACGCGAGATCATTTTGGCTAGTAATAGCATTATCCTTCGAGATCATAAAGATGAGAGCGAAATAGACGAGGGCGCCTACGAGAATCTTGTTGTGATTTTGCAAGATCCATTTATCCCAGAATTCGAGGATTGAGACACCAATTTTTGTGTTCTAGAACTCGGAGAGCCAGAGGGGACTGTGGAAGAGGAGGAATGATGCGTGGGATCTGCGGCGGGAGCGATGAGATGAATATGAAGAGCTGGGTGATCTGGCTGGTAGTGGGATCTGATCGGGTGATTTTTGCTGGCGGGTGCTTTTGGTGGGGGATTGTGAATGTGGAGTGCTGGATGGTCTGCTATCTGGTAGTGGGATCCGATCGGCCATTTTGGCTGACGGCTCGGGTATAGCTTTGATTTTATAGCTTTGATCTATAAGAGTGAAAGAGATATGTGAAAGTAGTTCAATTCAATTCAATTCTTGGAGGATTGTGATATCGTCGTCGAGTTCAGATGACATGAAAAGAAAACAATCTACTCGGTGAAAATACAAGAGATGAAGTATTCTCCAAACACTCGATGAGAAGAAAGGATGCAGCACAAAGAAACTCGCTTGAGGTTCTCCTTGCGGAACAACATGGTCGAGGTCTTTGAATGAAGTTGGATCTTGGAGAACAAAGGAAATGATAGGAAAGGGGGAAATGAAATGTGAAGAGTGTCAAAAAGGGGCTTGTGAAGTTGCTATATTTGGCTTGGTTTCTATAAGTACCGCAGTAAATATACATGGAGTGAATATTTCAAATGTTCATGGTTTGGGTTGAGTGGAAAGTATTTCGGTGTGTTACAAAAGGAAAGGTATACTCAGTACCGAAGTTTCGCCGCATTTGGACTTCATCTGTCCCGGTTGGAGTCAAATGCGAACATAATTACCATGACTGAAGCCATGATATGGTCATAACAAACTGAATAGTATGAGAATCTATATATCAGATCATATGGATGTGTAGTTGAACCTAATTACCCTTTCGTCACCGTCCGTATTTCACTCCTTTTGGTGAGTTGACGAAGACACCCAACTTGAGCATTCTCCTCTCCTGTCTGAAAAGCAACATATATGTATGTCTGTAGGAAAACTGCTCTTCAGCCCTTTCGATAATAACGGTGAATCAATGGTTCTATAACACGACCGAAGTGTATGTGTGAAAAAAAAAGAATTGCACCAACTCCACATAATTATCAAATTAACTCAACCATCTTGAATTCCCTCATCGTACGTGTGCCGAAGCAAATGCATAAGCTTTCTCCCAATAATAGATGTAGCTCAGTTGCTCTATAACTAACATTAAAATGCATATGCATGGAAGAAAGTGACTGTAAATCTCCCCACGATAACTAAGGTAGGCTGGTTGCTCTAACGCCCATAGAATATCGATATGCACGCCATCACCATGCAAGCAAAATAACATCAATTTCTGCCCGTGTTCTATGTTAATAGTTCGCTCTAATACTATTTGGTATCGTGGTAAGTAAAACGTATTACCCTGATACCTTCAGGCGCTTTCGACGATTTTCGAAAATCTTTAAAAACTTGAGTCAATGTCCATATCCGCATTGCCGTCGTCATCTCCATCCTGATTATCGCTAAGAATCTGCTCACCCTCCTGAGCATTATATTCTTCCGTTTGCATGGGAGTCGAATAATCCGCATTGTATCTAGGATTCAAGACATAGTCCAGACCTTCGATCTCTCTCGTGAATCTGTGGGTGTTATTCCATTTCGGGTCTCCACCCTCGATTTGTTGGTTTTCGATGGATGGTATGACTTGGACACCATTTTTGTCAAACAAGTATGCAGGAGCCGATAAAGCAGGTTTCTTGGGACCGTCTAATGCGATATTAGTAACAACATTCCGGATCTATATGGAGGTAGAGCCAGCCATTATGTATCATGCAAACATGAGAAAAGAATCATACCTAATGAATTCTGAGGTCCGTCACCCATATGCCAAGCATAAGGGGTTATATGTGTTTTTTCGACATGATTTTTCCAATCATCTTCGTCCTTGAATTTATACTGTGTATTATGTTCCGAATTTGACGGTAACGGATCTTTATTTTCGTTAGTTTGTGCAGCGGTGCAATCTTTCCACAAACAACTAGTCATGCCATTCTCTCTCTTGCCATGGATCTTAAAAAGATGCATTCTTAAAGTAACCAGATTGTGCAATTTGGCAGGACAATTTTTCCATTCACACTTGTAGATGAGAAAGGTTGGATTAGGAGCTAGAATCTCTAGTTCCGGAGAGGGTTGCTTTGGAGGGCGGCCTCGTTTCTTTGGTGGATTGTCATTGTTATGTATAGTCTTGTGATCTTTAGCCATTGACGAGTCTGATTTGGTCCTGTTTACTAGCGCCGTGTAGTCCTTAGGTGGTCTGCCTCGTCTCTTTGGTATACCGGTAGCTGACTTTTGAGGTTTTGGAGATGAAGTGCCTGACAGATTCTTTGGCGGTCGTCCACGTCGAGGTGCATTTGTGGATCTACCAGCCACCAGAGCGAGATTTTCAGGAACTGTTCGCGATGCCAAACTACTGACTCCTAACTGTCCAGAGAAAGTTTCCAAGGAAAATCCCTCACTCGATGAGTTTGAAGCAAATGGACGTTTTCCTAACACGTTCTCATTGGGAAGAGAGGTCGAATATCGTGACATAGAAGTACCGGTACTATTATCATTACCAGTCCGAAGAGGAGCATTAAACCGTTGAGGATCGTTCAATTGATGAGGAGATGATTGTCTTTGATGCATCTGCATGTGTTCACGATTTTGCTCAAATCGTTGTTGCTCAAATTGATGTTGCTCTTGCTCAAGAGTTGGCCGTGGGTGATTTTGTATTTGCATTGGAGGTCTTGTTTGGAAATTTAGCTGTATAGGCTGCCTGAAGTATTCAACAATGTCCTCAAGAATGTCCTCAAATTGATTACGATTGTAGACTGAATTATTTGACGGTAGCATTATTGTTGATTTTCAGAGTGTGTAGGTATGTATGTAGACTACCGTAACCTTATCAGATTGACGGCGATGATGCTTACGTAATAACACGACCACCGAAAAAGAGACTGGGTGGACATTTTTGCTTCCGCAGAGTTAAATTCCCTTCTCTCCTACCTGCCTTCCTGTGTTCTGTGTTCTTTGGTCTTTCCTTTTCATCGCTGGCGCCTTCATCCTGGTGAGGTGATTGGTAGTAACACATAATAACCTTAGCATTTGGTAGACAATAAATTGAGTTCAGTCAAGTCAAGTGATTAGCAAGCTTATGGGAATGAAAAATGGCACCGACATACCACGTCGTCATCAAGGTTCATTTCTTTTCAGTCGATTTTGGCTCCAAATCGAGAGTATGCTAGCTACTGAGAGATGTGTTATCGTAGACCATAGCATTTAGTTGTGGTAGAATCATTACAAGCATGTTGTGTTGCCCGGCAAACCGCTAGACTTGTTGCTTTTTTCGGTTGATGGGTTTCCTGTTCTTTGCGTTTACGTTCAACGCATCTATCTTGGCTCTGCCTCAAGTGATATAGCTCCATATCATTTTATGATCGGAGGTTCGCCATCAAGCTTGTAGAATAAATAGCTGGCAGAAAAAGTCGGTCAATGGCAGTAACCAGTAATGAAGTGTGTTGGTGGTTTCGAAGATGAGACTAATACCGATAGTTCACAAAAGAAATGTGCGTGAAAAGGAACTTAGAAACAAAACTAATACAATTTATAATGCTTACTAGGGTTGGCTAGTTTATATTTCACAATGAAGTCAAATCAGTGCAACAATAGATCGTAACCTCTTTGATATCGAATGATCTCAGCGGATTTGAGAGCGCCAACCCTGCCAGCTAGATCGACCTTAGTGATGGGCTTGGGAGTGTTGTTGAAGGGCTTATAAATGGCCAAAAGGAGCTTTTGAAGGTCGATATTGACTTTTGAGGTCCTTAGCACAACGCTTTTGGGCTGTTCCTTGATCTTTTTGTGTTTGAGAATGGAATTATGGACTCGATTTTGGCTCGGTTCTCAATTGTAGCGCTTCGCTCTGGCTTGAGAATACTCCGTTCGTTCGTTTAAGGTGTGTAGAATTTGGTTTTCTGAAGTGTCTATTGTCCTCGAGCCGCTAGTGACTCTACTTGCTAGTGCTGCTTCGGTGGGGGGTGTAAGTAAGTGCCACGCGAATGCCACCTGGAGTCAAATATCAAGATTTGTAAGTTGATTTGGTAGCTGTAAAGACGGACCTCACGACGGTGAGGTCTTTGTGGGATGTGTTGAGGGTTGAATTTCTCAGAGGAATAGTAACGACCTGGTGCAACCTGGGATAAAATACAGATGCTCCAACGTGTCATTTTATCCTTATGGATTCTTGAGCAAAAGATTGGGATCTTTGACATTTGGTTACAAAAATCCGGGATTATACGCAAAGTAATCCATTGTGCTTGATCACCGTTGTCTTTGTGGTCAGTGGCATTGGAAATCGAAGCTGTTATTGGCCTGGCCTTTCCGTTGGTTACACCCCCACTAGAACTTCATACTACATCGTTCGTCGAAGCCTTGGACGCAGCCAGACCTCTTGACATGTCGATATCCGCGTTTTCATATGCATCTCGGCAAATTGGACTTTGATTACTCTCGATATTGGCCGTCGAGGTTGACTGATGCCAATGATCCTCCGCACCATATCTCGACCTGAACATCGTTAATGCAGAAGCAATTTTCACACGGCTTTCTCAGAAAATGCTCTGTGAGATTAGAACATGGCGTAAGGTTGATGGAAGGGATAGATATGATACACACTCATCAGCGATACTCAGCACTTCTGACTGAACAACGTTCCTCGCACCTAGAACTGAAAGTTCACTATTTAAAGAAGCATATTGAAGTGCACACCTGGGGACGGCTACAGGAAATAATAATATATTACTACAAGCAACTACTTTAAAACCAGAAACCCTCTATGAGCACAGAATCCGATTTCCATCGAGTTAATCTCCCTTTTCGTCTCGGATGACAAGCTTCTTGGTAATGGACACACCCAGCAGGCCGCAGACTTGATGCTTCTCCAATCGGTATGGCTGGTGGAAACGATGCCATAGCTACGAGATATGCCGTCTCGAAATAGCTGTACAATGATTTCTTTACGCCCGAAATTTATCTTGGTGTAGGTAAGGGATTTAACCAAACCATTTTCTAGAGGTCTCGGGAGATTCAAGAAGGTGATGAATAGTATTTTCATATTATATCTCCTCCAAGACCAATATAATATAGTCCAACCAGCCACCCTCATCTCTTCTAGCCGCTTTTTAGTTCTCAGCACCACAATCAACCTCCTCTGCATTCTTTCCAACACCTTGGTGCCTTATCCTAGACCCAAACTCATATTCCCCCCCCCCCCCTCATCCACTTCACCGCCAAGATTACCATTCATTTTCCACCCGCCTCCATTAACCAAGTTATATATCTCATGCTAATCATCACCATGACCGGAAGACGCACCTTCTCTATATTTATATTCTCCGGCTACTTTGCTTATATCTGAAGTCCTGATGTTTACATGCTTTCTCCTTATGCTCGTCGTATATCCCTTTACATTTATTCCCCTCATAGATTCATAGTCATCATACGCTAGATTCTACAAACCATCAATCATCTCACCCAGTGGAAGTTCCGTCCAATAAATTCACTACTGTGTTAACATTGTATTACTTCACAATACCTGGTCTACTGTAATCCAGACAATACTCTCATCAAAGTACTCTTGCGTATCGTAGCATTGCATTCGAATTATATGCATGGAGATTACCTAGCTTCAGGTTTCTGCTATGTATATCTTTATACACATTCCGCCAGTTTTTAGTCTTGATAGTTGTGTAAAAGTAAATTATCATATCGTGTTATGTCACGGTGCTTTAAAGTTTACGAATCGCATGTTCATGTTCATGGTCAAATCAATAAATCTAAGTAGGGTTTATAGCCAAGTACACGATATAAAAAAAGTTTTCTGACTCATAATTTTCGGATATCATTCCAAGAAAACCAGCCATAGGATCATTACCTATATAGCAAGCATGATTATTTTAGTACCGGTAGTTATTATTAGTATATATGAGACTAATAAACTTATTTTGGATCCATAGTTAGATAGATAGACCAATAAACTCTCAAGCAACTTAATGTGCGTGTATATACTTTGACACTAGTTTCTTATAATCAACATTGAAAAATAGAGAACCAGATGGAGGAAAATGAGAAGATGACAAAAGTGTCACAGTAGTTTGACACCGGCAACAAGATAAGGCTATCATGATCATGTAAACCCACAAAAACAAATTTCTTAATCACTATCTTGATCATACAGCATGTTCGTGATAACTCCAAAATACCCAATACCGTGCGGGACTTGCGTTATCCTCATGTTATAGTCATCCTGGTGGTGGTGCTGATGCTACCACGATACCTCATCAGGCAAAGATTTATCAATCTCGAAGGAAATAGAACCCCTCATTCCTCATTTTCTACTTGGGTCTAAACCGTGTAGGCTACCACATGAGCTCCGATGCGTTTGTGGTGAGATTATATGTTTGAGATTGAAATGGTTTGATGGCGACCCATGGCTGACCAAATGGTTACGACCAGCAATTTGACCATGTGAATGAATACTTAAGATCACTTGAACAATGCTTGTCTATTATCATGGGATCGTAGAAGTTTTTGCTGTGGTGGATATTAAGAGGGACGCATGAGTTCCACGAAGTATTGTGCAATAAATTCTTAGACCGTGACGATTTTGAGTAGTTTGAGTGCTACACGTGGTATCAGTGGATTAAGGGGACCATCAAACATGCGTAATATTCTTAGAACCTGATGGTTTTGGGTAGTTTGAGTACTACTCATGGAATCAGTCGACTAATGAGGCTATCAAACATGTGCAAGGCATGTGATGAGGTCTCTGCAAGAAATCGGTGTGCAGTGTAGACAGTATCTTACTAAATCTGAGTATAAGAGCATAGGAATTTCCAGTGAGATAGGATCATCATCGGTGTTCAGGTACATTCCAATTGTTAGTATTTTCAACTTCACACCCCCGTTCAATCACGCCGAGAATTCTACATTCTTGTACCTTGTCACAAAAAAGTACCAGCATGGCGCCCCGTGCGTCCCCCGCGCAGTTCAAGGTCACCTGTACCGAATGCATAACCAGAAAGCCACAACATCGTCGAACCAAAGAGTGCGACCGAGATCCCGCCATCAACCCGTGGCCCAAACGGAGCGATGACTTGAAATGCGATTTCTGTGAGAAATCGCATGAACCATCTGAATGCCCGAAACATAAAGCAAACAAAGCAGAGTTCAATACCTGTGGGCAATGCGGTCATGGGTGGCATTCCAAGGCGGAGTGCAATTTGGATGCAAATATTCCCCATTTACTGGAGCAATATGTTCCAAGTAAATACATTGTTGCAATGAAGACGCAGGATCGTCGACAGAAGCATCTCCAGGCACAATCTTCGTCGTCTCAACAATCTGCAGCTGGCCCTGTAGCATCCTGAGCTTCAACATCTAATTCCAGAACTCCCGGCAACGTCGGCAGTGCACAGTCGGGCAATTCTGCAAGTCATGTAACTCAATCTTCATCGGGATTGAATCCTGATCCTCGTGAAGCGCAAAAGCGAATCCTAGATGAGCGCAGAGAGAAGAAGCAAAAAGATCGCGAGAGCTGGGCCGAATCTGGGCTGGGCATAACCGGATTTTCCAGTGAAGCTGCGCAGACAGGACCCCTAGATATCAAAGCCAATTTCTATGGAGTAACTATGCTCGACAAGAACGTTGATCTTCGAAGATATCATGTCAAGTTCGGCACCATCGATGGTCGCAAAGTAGCCAAAGCGGACGTCAAACGGACCTTGATTGCAGGCATGATGTTGAAACACCAGCCAAGCGCAGCTTACTACGCCACTGATTATTCTCTGCATATCATTTCGGTGGGAAGGCTGTACGACGATTGCAGTGATGTAGAAGGTACGATTGTCGATCGAAGCTATGATCTCACTCGACGACACGATGCCCCTGAAGGAGATGCTCAGCAGATAACCATCTCAATTTGTTACGACGGCAAAGTTCGAATGAGGGAGCTGGAAAGATATGTTAAGCAGGAGAACGGCGATCAAAGATATCTTCCCGATGAAGATCTCAAAGCGCTGAACATTGTGTCATGGAAGTCGATCTACGAGTCAGATAGTTTTGGCAGAGTCGGGAACAAATTTTACCCCAATGCTAAGGAATATTGGATAGAACATGAAACAGGCTCTTCTCCTAAGAATGTCGTTGTTCAAGGTAGACTCCTCTACACGATCAGGACCGGTTTCTTCACTTCTATGCGGCCGGGTGTTGGTCAGCTTCTTCTAAATGTAAACGCGACAGCTACTGCATTCTTTCCTACCATCCTTGTTGAAACGTGGATCCGCAACTACCTGGGTGGAGACTTGAGATATAGCAAAATAACTACTTTTTTGCGGGGGTGGAGAAAGAGCGGGTTGAAAGGATTGAAAGTCACGTTCAATCACGATCGTATCAGTCCTCCGAAAAAATGGCAAATTTGCGATATCAGCCATCTCACTGCTAAGAATCAAATGTTCACACCGAAGGTTAAGGACAAAGAGCCTTCGAAGTCGGCGATAAGCGTATGGGATCATACTAGGAAAGGTAAGCTGTATAGCTATTGACACTGATGAGCGTCACTAATTGAAGCGTAAACGAATAGCGTATGGAGCCATATCTGACAAAGATGCATTCTGTATCAATGTTGGCAGTATGACCAACGCGATCTGGTATCCTGCTGACTTGCTCACAATCGTGGATTGGCAGGTTGTCAGCAATAATAAAGATAGTAATCTAACCCAATCCATGGTGAGAACGGCGGAGAGGACACCCGATGTCAATCAAGCGATTATTAGCAAAGGAGCGTTAAGAACCCTTGGAATAATCCCAACGGCAGAGAGACAGCATTATGAGGTGATTACCTTTGGCGTGATCCCCCTTTACACGTTTAATCACTAACCACACTTAGGAATTTGGTTTAAAAATTTCATCACACCTCACCGAGATTCGGCAACTTCGTACTCTGCCACAACCTAGATTGGAGTTTGGGCTTAATACCAAAATTGCCTGCGGGCTATCCTCCAAACCCGCCAGCTGGAAAATCGAGAAGGCTCAACAAAACGGGTTCTATCATGTAGAGATTTCTTATCTAACTCTTCACATCATCAAGATTGGAAACCACGTGAGACAAATCAGAGGTCAAGACGTTGACCATAGTATTGGCTTTGGGGACAAGCTTTGGCCTGTCCTTGTCAAATATGGTCTCATGACTCGAAGAGCAATACTTGAAAATGTTCCATTCGCCCCCTTTAATTCGACCAATACGCAAATTACAGCTAGTACCCGACGTGCCAATGTCGACAGTGCCCTCACAAGTGCTACCATACACTTGAAGGAGAACATATACAATGAAGGCAACGAGACACCATCACTAATTGTTGTGCTACTTCCCAACAGAAGAAAAGAAAATCAGCAAACATACGCAGACGTCAAGTGGTGGGGAGACTGCAAAGCCGGCATACCTACAGTCTGTGTCAGCTGGGATGGAAGCTCCAAGGTTGCCGATGGTGATCAGCAGACTATGGGAAACATTGCGTAAGCCCTTCAAGATCTTGCCCATTGAATGTGAAGCTAACTATCTGCAGCTTGAAGATTAATTTCAAGCTGGGAAACATCGGTCATCGCATTGCTGACGATGCACGACTAGGCATGCAACCTGGGGGTACCATGATCATGGGCGCAGATGTGACTCATCCTGGTAGATGTGGTGATGAAGGGTGTCCGTCAATGGCTGGTGTTGTGGCTACTTGCGACTCGAACTACATGCACTATCTTGCTTCCGCACGTCTCCAAGATAGTAACACGGAGGTATGTTACTGCTGCTGCATCTTACATAGCGAGTAGATTACTGACATTCTGAATGCTAGTTTATTGCCGGTCTTGAAGGCATGGTCGTGGAACGCCTCAAAGCGTACTATAAATGGAGTAATAGTACTCTCCCAGCCAATATTCTCTTCTGTCGGGATGGTGTAAGCGAATCTCAATTCGGTATGGTCTACAAGGAAGAATATCCTCAGATACGCAAGGCCTGTGAGATCTTTCGCGATGAGTTGCGCGAGGAAGTTAGAGACGCTGATTGGAGTCCCAAGATTACCGTTCTGGTGGTGGGCAAACGACATCATGCAAGATTCTTCCCCTGGGATCCTACAGCAACGGACAATCTGAGAGCTGGCTTGGTGGTCGATCATACAGTGGTTCATCTAAAACAACCCAGTTTCTACCTTCAGAGTCATGATTGTCCCCTGGGAACGGCCAGGACAGCTCACTATGTCGTGATCGTCAATGAGAATAGGTACAGGCTAAAAGAGCTTGAGGAAATTGTGAGTCGCCTCCACCCAGTCAATCCCTTAATTCTCCCCAATTATTAACACATCCAGACGAACAAGCATTGTTTCACTGGCTCTCGCGCAACGAAGGGTCTGTCGGTCTGCACACCAGCTCGATATGCCGATATCCTTTGCGACAGACTTCGCTGCTACATGTATCCCATTCTTAATGAGGGGATGAGTGTTTCGGGTAATATGCTAGCATCGATGGATGAGAATCATCTGAATAGGTATCGGCAAAGTGGGACTATTTGGGTAGGTACTGAGAAAGACTTGTCTACGGAGGAGACGAAACTCCTTTCCGGTAATCCGTGGCAGAGTAATGTTAATGATACTATGTTTTATCTTTGAGCGGAAAGAATGGATGGGATGGAGGATAGATTCTCAGCGGCTGAATTGTTATTTTGGTGATTCAGAAGTCATGGAGTTTGGAAATATCCTTAGTTTGCTTCTCTTTTGTCTACTTTTATTTTCTTGTTTTCTAGCAATCCCTCATCTCATCTCATCTGGCTTCGCTTGAGAGATGGAGCTTGCGATTGTTATCAGGGTTTCTGGATATTCGCGTTGAGGATTCTGGCAAAAATGAATCCAAAAAAAAAGATGCAAATCTGCTCATCTTAAAAAGGCTGTTTGAACTGGAGTTAATGTTTTGAATTTCATGGTTTAGTCTGAATTTCAGCTTTGAGTTTGGGTTTGCGGTTTGGGATCAGATATGCTTGCTTAGAATAGTCAATCTAACGGAAGACTTTCCTTGAACCTCATCCGAGTCTCGATATGACTGCATCAAGTACAGGAACTGGAGCCTTAGGTCCATTGGGTAGATATGCCGCTAAATATCTATCCTGTCACCCGATAGTACAGTAGATGATGGGGAACTCGAAAGAATTGATGTACATGGATTTGTTTTGCCAGACTCGCTACCTGTTCATTGTGCTTAAAGAAGAAAGAGGTAAACTACAATTGTGGCTCGCGACATATGCATTGGAAATTGCCAGTTATAACCTTACTCTTATTGACTCGACCAGTGGTTTTGAAGAGTAATTGAGAAGTTTTGACTCGTCTTTGTCAATAAAAATTGTAAGCTGCAGCTAGGACAGCTTGTGAATGAGATGGCTCGAATATGCTTCTAGCCACTGTTCAGCACTACTGATCGTCGCATGAGGGGCTCCTTTGCCGTTGGTGCATGAGGTAAGTTCGGAAATCTGATATATACAGAAAAAGGCCGCGAAGATCTCGAATCCTGTCAAGAAATAGATCGGGACTTTCTGACTTAATTTCTTCATATGATTGATTTCCATCATAGCATGTTCAGGGAGCTGTTGGGTTTCTACCTCAGCATCAACGACGAGGTAAATTTCTTTCATTATCACTTCCAACTCTTCTTCATCAGTCAAACGAACAGTCGGAAAGTTAGCTGTCAGGTGTTCGAAAGTCACTCCAATATCGATACATGACCGATCAGATGATGAGAACTTTGAACTTCGATTGCACACTTCCGGAAGTGTCCAAGTAAAGAGATTGTAATTGATTGACAAAGAAATTTCGTCCAAAAATCACACACTCATTCAGAGCATCAAAAACACAGACTATGTTTCCAGTTTGTAGATCTGAGATTATGCGCTTCAGGATAACCACATTTCCGTAGGTAGATTTGGAGATTACCGGACTTGCATTCGAGCCGTAGATTTAACGGCGTTGGAGAAGCGTTTGCAGGGTCTTAGAGAATGATTTGCAGTAATTTTCCATCTTAGAATCACACAATTTAGTTAAGGAAGTAAAACATATAAAAGAAAGACTCGTTTATCAGCGTACCAATGGACATCACTAGATATAGTTCGAAGCGCACTGCACGGAAACTCGTATATATCTCACCAACAATGGCCCTCTGTCTTCCAGTTCTCGAATGCCTTTCGCCAGAGTTTTTGGTCTCTGTTGGGAATAATGTCGCAGATGGTTGTTAACAGAGCTGACTGGAATTGATGATTCGGGTTTCATTGCTCGTAATACTTGTAGCAATCTTATTCGAACCGCTAGGTGAATTTAATTGACTTGTAGATGTAGAGGCAGAAGTTGAGGCGACAGTAGTGTTGAGGTTATGGTATTAAGTATGCAGTGGATATCTTATCAATGGTATATATATATAGGAATATGTGTGTATAGGTAGGTTTGTAGGTAAGACCATATGAAGAGATTTTATATGGGTCCACCTAAGGTTATATGCTGACTCATCAATATTCCAAGAGTTATCAGTCGAACCGAGAAGAATGCAATGCGAACTTGTGATGGGGTTGATCAGCAAGGCTGATTTGGTCCCTAGTTATGGAGTGTTTCTACAGTCTGACATAAACTTGCTGTGCAATAGCTGGGTGGTACAGGTGAGCCTCGAGCTTAATTCAATATCTCAAGATTCTTATTCGAATTCGTTGACTCAATATCACTGTCGTGAGAAGTCGGTAGATACTCGGATAATCGCCAAACGCACGGACCATAATTAGCAATGATGCACTTACGGTATTTTCTGAGATGTTAAAATTACAAAATTACTTAACTACTCCAGAACAATGCAAAACGGCGAGAGAGTTCTCTGCCTCCCACTGTATCTGGGTTGCCCCTTGATCTACAAAGAACAATTATCCAGTCGAATAAATGAAGTCCCGCTTAGCGATGCGTTCACGGTATGGAAGGTGTACGTAAGTTACGTGACGGCGTCAAGGCCGCGTGTGTACTTCTCCACCATTGGATTTGTTGTATTAATTCATATTGTAAGGTTCACAGGATTGTGTTAATGGAAGTCATATTCTATAATTCCTTGTTGGTTCCCATCATGTGTTTTGTTTATCTCCTTCACATTTTTCCCCTTCTCAGCTTTAAGCTGTGGTCATCATGTCGAACTCTAGACCAGGAAATCGTCGTTCCGTCGTTGTATTCTGCTCTATCATAATCTTCATACTTCTGGGGCTTGGGTTTGAATATCGGTACTCGTATCTTGATCATCAATCACTATTTCCAGCATTTGGAAAATCAACATTGTCATGGATGGCTACTTCTAGCACGTTTTGGGCTGCGTTTGCTCCGCTGCTGGCAGCTGCTGTACCAAGATGTCCTCCTTCAGAGCTTAGTGGCAAAGCAATTTCGAAGACTATCGGGAAACGAAGAGCCGTGGATCATATTGTTATGAATGAGAAGGATATCGAAACCATGAGACGATCTCATACTTGGTTTGTGGACCAGCTTATGCAGAATGCCCCAAAATTGGAATATAAGAAAGGAACAAGCAGGATTGTAACGTCTGCTGGTGGTGACTATTTCCCACCACTGCTAGTCAGTCTTCGGTTTCTTCGCCGCACTGGATCAACACTACCAGTTGAGGTTTTTCTTGCCACACCAGATGAATACGAACCACTGTTATGCGAGGCGATTCTCCCCTCATTAAATGCGAAATGCCTCATAATCTCCGATATCATTGATCAACATGATCTGCCATTTTCACTCTCAGGATATCAGCTCAAAGCTTTCGCAATATTGTTTTCATCTTTCGAGTCGGTTCTTTTTCTCGATGCAGACAACTTTCCTATCTAATCCCCCGACGAGCTATTTACTTCCAAACCTTTCATTTCCGAACATCTTGTTTGATGGCCAGATTATTGGAGCCCAACCCCATCGCCGACCCTTGGAAAGATCATTGGCCTTGAAGGTTTTGTTTTTAATAATCGGCCTACAATCGAAGCTGGGCAAATTTTAGTCAACAAGACACATCGAACAGAGACATTATTGCTAGCAGCATATTATAATGCATACGGAGACTATTATTATTATCATCTCATGACTCAAGGAGGTGCGGGCGAAGGTGACAAAGAAACATTCTCAGCGGCAGCCCTTGTTCTTGGGAATAGTTTCTAATCATCAAGGTTCAAGACAGTGGGGTAGCGAAGAACATTCATTGAGCATGTTCGATGGTTTAGATGTGGAACGCGTGGCATGGGAATACATGGTACAGATGGCATGTGACGAAAAGATTGTATTCAAGAGCTGGGAAGATAAAACAGAAAAGGGGATTTGTGAGCAGACAAGAGAGGGTTTCAAAAATATGTTTGGAAAGGAATTTGATGATTTGGACGAATAAAGGGAAATGGAGAGTTTAAACTACCACCAACACAATTCGCCGCTGATGGAAATCCAGGCTTTCTCTAGAGCAACGACGACGATGGTCGCGGTGATGGAGGGCCTATAAGGCTTAGGCGAATGACGAAAGGTCCAGCCGCATGAAAAATATCTGCGCATTGAACGAAGAGATCTAGCCACATCGCCGAAAGGATATTAATTGACCCTTGATGAATACCTTAGTAGGATGAATCGACTAGAAAGCCAAATGCCGCTAACAGCTAAATGAGAATTGCACACGGAGTAGCATTCCTCCATGGATAGTTGTACCATTTCCCGGAATACTCTTCAAGAGAGACGATATCATGATAACACCAAATTTCTTCTATTCTATAGAATCACCTAGTAGTCAGTTAGTCTAAAGCACAGCAAACCCGTGGTCGGGATTCTCAATTCATACCCTGTATTCCAATACATATAAAGGAACGAACGGGTATGTATATAGGATCACACTAAGACAAAAACGCATAGGTCGGACTAAATACTGTAGTAAGGTTCTTGAACTCGTCCATAAATCCATAAAATTGGCAGGCCAATATGGTAATCTTACTTGTGAATATACGAAGCATGCATAATGCTCGAATTCGTTGAACAATGGACCGTAAATATTTCAATATAATGCGAGAGAGAACAAACTACCTATCCATAAACACAAATCAACCTCAAATTGAATTATCCATCTGTCATGTCGTCCACATAAAAATATGGCTCTACAAATACTGTACAGTCCAAAAACCAATTCAATCCCATTCCATCCCTCATCCCAAGCACTCCCATCCCTTATCTAATCTCACCGTGACATATAACATAAATCACCATACCATCCCATTCCATAAAAGCGCTCCAACCAAGCCAAGCCAAGCCAAACCAATCCGAACTTATCAAAACATACTAGGTAGTGTACCCAATTCCTGTTTTGCTTCGTTCGCTTACTCTGCATAATTCCTTTCATTACTGATTGGCCTCAGAAAAGCCATTACAGTACGAATTCACTTCCCTTCGCTTCGCTGACATCACATTACATCACACATCACTCAACCCCAAAATTTCATGAAGAGGAGCCCCTCCAGCTTGAGCTTGATTTTATATATAGGTAGTAGAGTATCAGCATTACCATTACCATTAGCATCAACATCCCCATCAACACCCGATCATTTACCAGCAAGCAATACCCCAAATTTCTTTTCCTTTCCAGTGTACGCAACCCATCTCGTATCTATTACAGATATTACAGTATATACCATCAACCTTCCACCTTCTACCTTCCTTATAAGAATACATAAAAAATCGCACTCCCAATCTCCAGCAAGCACATACACATACATATGCACATGCGAAACTCATCTCGAATTAAGAATCTAGATTACCAGCGTATTTCTCTTTTTTCTGATTCCTGTTGAATACTATTTATCACCTATACTCATATTCATACCTCATACTCATACTCATACTCATACTCATACTCACACTCATATTCATACTGATACATAACACCAAGACGCATCAAATCCCATCATCCCAAACCCAAATCATCCAAAACCATCTCAAACCAAACCCATACCAAGCCAAACCTCACTCATCCAAAACTTCCCCTACTACCCCCTCGGTCCATCCACCTCACATACCCATACCACTACCCACCACTACCCACCTATCTACTTCCCCTACTTCCCCTACTTCCCCTTCTTCTCCCGCGGTCCACCCACCACCTCACCACCACATCCCACCATCCAAAATGGGTCTTCCATACAGCAAACAGATCCATTCCGCCTTTGATCAATCTCAAATAATGATGCGACGATTACAACGTGAAGTGACACCTCTTGTTGCTGCTGGGTATCCTCTTATTGGTATTGTTACTTTATTATTATATTTGTTTTTTTGGTCCACCTTCCACATCCCATTCCCTTTCATAAGCCCCCACCCATTTCCCACTTCATACCCATACCCATTCCCGTTCCATTCTATATCATACTCATCCCTCCACATCCCTCTCCCTACCCCCCTTTAACAAACCAAACCTGCACTAACCAAAACCCCCCCCCCAAACCAAAGCCACCACAACCACACTCCTCCGCACCACAAAAAACATCGCCATACTCCTCACTATCCTACAAGTATATATCTGCATCATCTTAACCATGATTTTGATGGTATTACTATTATTATTGATATTAGTAGTTGGTATTACATCTGAGAATCAGAATGGGGATATGGATATGGATAAGGATATGGATATGGAGATGGAGGGGGAGGGAGAGATAAATGAGAGGAGGATGATTTGTGAGTTTGTGAATCAGGGGGTGAGATGGGTGGTGAGATGGGTGGGTAGGTGGTGGGGTGTGATAGTGTGGGGAGGGAGAGTGGGTTTTATTGGGGGGGTTATTGGGGTGGGGGTTGGGGTGGG